CTTGTTTTATTGTTATATTGTAAAATGGCAGCGAAAAAAAGAAAGTTTTCCGAAGATTACGGTAAGTTTGGATTTACCTTCACAGAAAAAGACAAGTTACAATTGCCTCAGTGTGTGACATGTATAAAAGTTTTAAGTAATGATAACAAGAGGCTCAATCGCCTTGAAAGGCATTTGAAGCAACAACATCCTACTCTGGTTTTGAAGACGATAGAGTTTTTTTCTGCTAAAGCAGAATCACTCAAGCGGATGAGACTGGATAAATCGGGAAGTTATCACACAGGTGAATCGCAGCATCACAAAGCTCCATTTGAAATAGCTTAGCAAAAGATACCTCATATTATCGGTGAAGAATTAATAAAACCATGGGTCCTAAAAACCACGCAGATAATTTTAGGAGAAGATGCAGAGCAAAAAATTAAGTCTTTTTCTCTTTTGAATAACACAGACTAGCGTAGAATCGATGGCATTGCAGCAGACATAAAGTCACAAATAATTAACAAAGTAAAATTGTCGCCATTTTTGCCTTTAGTTGCGATGAATCCACCAACAACGTTAATTGTGCACAGTTAATAGTTTATGTTCGTTACATCTCATTCAAGAAGAGATTTTGTACTTCCATTCTTTGACAGCAGGTACTACATCTGAAGACATATTCAATTCAATATCAAATTTTGTTGAAAAAAAATATTTGGATTGGAAGAAACTCATTGGGCTTTGCACAGATGGCGCACCTGCAATGATAGGTGTACGATCGGGCTTAGCTAAAAAGCTCAAGGGAAAAAATCCCGCAATGGTTGGTACACATTGGCAAGCTTTGGCTTCCAAAATATTGCCACAGAAATTACGCCAGACATTGGACTCTTCTATAAGGATTGTAAACTACATCAAGAGCCAAGCTTTGAACAGTCGGTTATTTACTTTACTTTGCGAGGATCTCGATTCTGATAACAAAGTTCTTCTGTTCCATACAGAAGTAGGATGACTGTCCAAAGGCAACATGTTGGCTCACCTTTATGAATTGAAAGAAGAGGTAATTCTTTTTCTTGAGTTCAAAGAAAAACACGAATTCTTGACAATGTTCAAATATGACACATTTCAATGGAGGTTGGCTTATTTAACTGACATATTCGACAACTTGAATGAGCTAAACTTGAAACTTCAGGGCAGGAACAACACTATAATAAGCAATTACGATTATATTCAGGGGTTCATATCAAAGCTTCAACTTTGGAATCAAAAAGTGTCTTGTGAAAGTGTTATATCTTTTTCTCGGCTGTTCAAAGCAATTAAAAATAACATACTGGACGCAAATTTAAAAGCTGACATAAAAACTCATTTGCAAACGCTGGAAGACGAATTTCACCGATACTATCGAGACATCAAAGAGTCACCAATACGGCACTTGACAAGAAATCCGTTTGTTCTCGAGAGTCGAGAGCCCTAGATACATGGCTATTAAGTTTTTCAACAGACTCCCCAACAATTTGAAATCACAACCACTGAACACTTTTAAAAGAACAGTCAAACAGTTTTTACTGGAGAAAGCTTTTTACTCTATTGAGGAATTTTTAATGTGTGAATGTCTTGTTTGATTTTGATCATTGTTGTTTGAATGTCATTTAATGGTTTGACCTTTATTTCGCTATTTTATATATACATATATGTTTTATATTTATAAATTTTATCAATAAGCTAATTTGATTTATCTGTATCCATATTTGGAATATACCATATGTGGTACGAATATGTGTGCGTCCACACTAACATGATTTGTTATTAGCTTTTGTAGTGCTCTGACTGACTTATCCTATATCACATCTGTGATCATACAGGACTAATAAATTATTATTATTATATTATTATTATTACCAGAAGAAGTTCAGAAAGAATTTCTAGAAATGAAGGCTGATTCGTCCATAAAAGATGACTTCCATCGTTTAACATTGGAGAAATTTTGGATCAAAAGATTGCCTGTTAATTCGACGCTTGCCTCTCTTGCTTTTCTTCAACTTACTTATGTGAGACAGGCTTTTCTGCTCTAGTTTTAATTAAAACTAATCAGCGAAATCGTCTTGATGTCGATAGCGACCTGATGACAGCTCTGGCAAAAACAGAACCTAGAATCAACCAACTGGTACAGGACATGCAATCTCAAGTGCCTCATTAGTACCTACTCTTATTTTATTCAAGTTTTTCGATAAAAAAAACATTTATTAGTTTATTTAAACTTTTAAAGTTTCTTTATTAGAATTAAAATAAAACAGTTTGTACCTTTATAATATGCGGTTTTTTGTATTCATTGAAAAAGTAAAGGGGGCATGAAAATATACTTTATAGTCCGGGGAGCCTCAACAAAAAAAAAGGTTGAGAAACCCTGATCTATAGTGTTCTGACAGTGAGTGGAGTAGTAGTGGTGGGGAGGCAAAGCCTGGCTACTAGGCCTCATTTGACCGTTTTTACCAACCCCGTAGTACCAACACCTTATTACTCCACGAACCATTTACTGGTATTTAACTGATATAATAAAACAGCTCCAGCGAGGCGATGTACCTGTTAATAAGGAATTAATTTCCGAGGCGGAGATTCGAACCCACTAGAACCGCACGGGTATTACGTATCTTGAAAAATGACATTATGTAGGTTTTTCTACAATATGTTAACTTAGCACTTAGTTGTACGTGTTACCTAAACATCATGAGGCTTCAGTTATTAATGTTTGGCTCAGATGTGATGTAAAATCTGCTTCAAAGATGGCATTACTGTAGGTCTAAGCTGTATGTTGTATGTGTTGATGATAATTCCATTGGATTCTTTTGTCTCAAATACACTTAATTGAGATTCAAAGCTAGAAATTAGTTGCGCATCCACTTTTTCTTATTCATTCTAGGAACTACATATGCAAATTTGCTGAATTTAAAAAATGCGAGAGATAAGAGATAATTATATACACTGTATACTGTCGAATTACAAATTATATACATGCTAACAGTAATAACACACAACGCGGGCGCGCTGATGATTTCCCATAATTATCCTCAAAGTTTCTCGTAATTTATAACTTTGAACAAAACCTGTCTTCAGAAAGGACAACATATAAATAACCCGTCGGGCACAGCTAATAGATATACTTCATTGGCACCATATTCAGTAATGATTTTCTCACATAGCAAATATCACTGATTTTATATACAACCAAACCAATACACATAATCATCCAGATGCGATCTTGCTATTCAACCAACTTTCTTCTCAGAGATAAAAACTACAGACCACTCGGCCTCACAAAACATATGCAACCAACAATGCGTGTAGTTTAGTTGAGTGATTCCTCCATAGATGGACGTTCACAACGATCCTAGTGAGCAAACGGGGAATGACTGTTTGAGCCCTAAAAACTACCTAGTCTGCAAGATGACATCTTATAGGTTTTTTGACGTGTTATAGGTTTATTTACATAATACCCGTGCCGGGTTGCTAGCTCGACGTGCTGACCACCGATTCTCTCGACAATGGGTAAAAGATTCGTTCATATACCCTTGGCCGCCCTTTCGCTGTATTATCCATTTTTCTTAATTTCCTCCATCTCCTCATACTTCCTTAATTTACGACAAGCATAAAAGCACTAGATGGAACAGCCCTAGCCAACGCGGCGTCTCGCTGCCATCATCAGAGTAAAGAGCAGTAAGAGGAAAAGTGCTTGCCAGCATAACTCATTTTCCGCCATCATTTAAACCCATTATGCCCTTCGTGGAAAGAGAGCCAGTTCGTCCAGCCACCCCTCGAGAAGTATAACAGCCCTACGAGCCGGTTTTAAAATACAAAGGTAGGGAGAGGAGGCGCTTTCATTTCATCACGAGCAATTTCACCGGAAATTGACTCAGGAAAATGCGACGACGTGGCAGGCTGACAGGAAATGTTGACGACGACGGTAAAACGCGTTTTCATCGGAAGTATTGAGAAATATATTTTGTTGTAGCATCGTAAGGTTGCAATTTGGTCCCGATGCGCAAAACGTTATGTTTTTGTTACTTAGCCCGAAATAAAAATGGCGTCAAGTAGGTTGACTGCGCTTCCAACGCAATGCTGTCATCAATTCATAAAGGGTTGTATTAACCACTCTAAGAAAAAAGTTAGCTACGAACGCATATAACAAAAAAAAAATAAACTGACCTACGATTTCTGGCAACCTGGCTTGAGAAAAAAATTTGTAGAGGTAAAAAATTTGATGTTGGAGTTTGTAGAGGGTGGGGGAAGTATATTTCAATTTGTTTGTGCTGGCAATGTATAAGTACGTCCCCAACAAACGTAATTTTACGCACCTATTAGATCTGCCGAAACCGAAACTAAACTGAAACTCTGATTTTTTACCGAAACTGTCCGAAACCGAAAAACCGAAGGATTGGTCGGACTGTAGTTGTTGGATGTTGAAGATAGGAAATTTGAAAAATTCTTAAGTACAAAAAAATAGGTCATCGGCCATTTTCTTAGTGAGATACATGATTATCTTTTATCAACTTTCCTCCAATATTTTTAAATTATGATGCTTCAAAAATACTGAAAACCACACGGTTTTTCTCGCTGTAAAATTAAACTATTATAGAGAATAGAAAACTAAAATGATGTAAAACCCTCGAAAAGTTGTCTAATTTGAAATAACTATAAATTATTTTTACGTTTTGTGGACCATTTGGCCAATATAAATGGCCATTGGCCAGACTTTGCCATTTGTAAGGATACATAATTATGTATGTGTTACAATAAAGTCCATTGAATTGAATTAAATTGAATTGAATTTGCGACTTCGAAAAAGTCGGACATACCATCCTCATGAGTTTTTGGATTCTCTTGGAAACGTCATAGTTCAAAAGCAATATGCTGTCCTTCCTTGCATAGTTAGACCAATAACAGATTTTGTTGATTTTATAGATAATAACATGTTAGCTTATTCCAAAACCATTCTACCAAGAATAAAGCATGCAGTATATAAATCAACTTACCAAGCAAGCAGCAGGCCATGATCCCATGATTCACGTTCACGATTAAGTTACACATTGGGTCATTAGGTCTATATGAACACCACATAAGTCCATGAACACCATTATTTGAAAATCCCAAGAAATTGATACACGAACTCAGCATAAACTATCGAAACACTCCACGAAACTGCCAAGCCTAAACCGATGATGAATCTACACTCTCACTCTTTTTGCAATACATATTTCTATTTACATTTACGGATGTCGAGTTTTTGCCAGTTTTTGTCGAGGTTTCTGCCAGGTCTGTAACCCAGTGAATACACGAAACGGTGATTGGGAGAGAAAATTGCCAAAACATTAAATGCAAGAAGATTGAGCTGCGGTTTCTCCAGAATTCCTAACATGAACCATTTGAGACATAGTTTCTTTGGATTAAAAGGGGGATACAAAAAATAAGATGTTTACATACTTCTTACATTTAAGAATCATTCATTGCAGATACAGATAATTCTTAAACAAGAAAACACGAAATAACATCTTCCATCCGAGTAGATATCCGTTTACGCATTTTGGGTCAACAAGTTGTCACTTTCACAACTATTTTCACCACCGCTAAGAAAATATTTTATTTTTTCCATGATGAAGCACCCGCCAAAAAATTGCGATCTATGAAAACAAAAAATGTAACAGACGTTTCAGCTGTCAATTGGTTCATTTGTTTTCATAGCATGCTAATTAAATCCAGCGCGATCCATGAGGCTTAAATTTTGGAAACTAGGAGGTTTTCCACGTTTTCCTTAAAAAGTCCGTTTAATTAATTATCCTATATGGCATCATCTACCAGACAGTGACCTAAGTCGAAAGCGATGCAGATTGCACGATTGCAGTCATATAACATAGAAATCTACTTCTATTCCATGGACCATGGACGAGTTGTCAATATAGCCCGGTCGACAGTTTGATGGGCTTTTTATGAGCTAGGATTTTGAGTAGGGCCAGCTGGGGCGGATCTAACGCATGCATAGTCAACTAAGGGTGACAAACTTGGCATTTTTTTCCAATGAAATGCCATAAATTGGTGTTATAATTACCTTGCTAAACTTACATCATGGACACGGACCCCCTCTCCCCTCACAGATATATATCCGACCACAGCTTTTCAATAGATCATTTTCAAACACTTGATCCCGCTATTTTTGCTTATTTCTTGTAAATTCTTGGTGTAAATGTAAAAATATGGTAAGGAATCGGTTGGAAATTACTATTATTTAGTTATTTGTGAAGAACCTTCTTTTTTAGGTGGTGAATTGTTTAATGAAAAACAAAGTCAACCTTTTGTCCAAATAGCGATCAGATTTATGGATAAAATCATTGTAGAGGAGTCACTTTATAGAAGAACAACAAAAATCTACACGACTTTGTTTCAGATACTTTATTAAAGTTGAGCTCTTAAGGAATAAAATTGGTGGAACTAACTGTGAATATTTTATCGCCAGCAGATTTAATAAAGTATGAACCTTTTTGGATTCCATGTGAAAATATTTTGAGAAAATATAATAACTAAGGTTGAATGCCACGAAAGATTATAGAAACAGACGAAACCGAAAACTTGAAGAGGTAGACTTCCTGTTTACTTACACAGACTACTGACATCTGTGGTATATGTGGCTGACCTCCAAGTTCTCAATTTCGTCTATTTCTGTAATAATCTTTCAACCTCAGGTACTATAGCTTCTCAAAGATATCTCTAGTGATCATCTATCTGTTGCCTTGGATGTGGGCAATGAGCAAACTTCTGAGGAGGAAGCTCCTCAAAGAAAAGATATTGATTGGGAGTTACACAAGCTGCTCCTTAGAGAGTTTCCCAATATCCCGATTATAGTCTGGAATAGGTGCCGTTCAAACGGAGTGGACAAGTTTCATTCAAACAGCTCTACAGCGGGCAGCCGTACTTTCTGTACAACGACACCGCAGACCTGCGGACATTCGTCAGAGAATATCTGACAAAAGAGCCGCTATTAAGCAGGCAAAAAGGTCTTGTTATCCTGATGACATTCGTAGGGCTACAAATCATGTCCACGAAGTGAGGAACGCACTGCACGAAATCCGTGACGAGCAATGGAGCGGCTTTCTGGCGGGAATGCTTGATTCAAGTATTCCTCTCTGGAGTGTAGTAAAGACATTCAGAAACGGAAAGCGTGAACAACTATCGCACATCCACGGTCCTGAAGGCATAGTCTTCAGAACGGAGAATAAGGTCGAGGTTTTAGCTGATGCCGTGGAAAAACAGTTCTCTCCCAACTATGATCTTGATAATGACCTCGAAGAGGAACAACACATCGTACGATCCGTCACGAGATATTTTAGGGCCAACGACGTTAGCAGAGGCACTGAATCCTCTTCAGATGACTCTTCTTCAGAAGATTTGTCTGAGGCTCCTCATAGCACATTAACGGAACCCTCCGAGGTTCCACATTGCACACCAGCGGAGATCCTACATCATATTAAAGACCTCAAGGTACGTAAAGCACGTGGAGAGGATCAAATCACCAACAAGGCGTTGAAGCTGCTCTCGCCGAAAGCTCTGACATATTTGGTGACAATAATCAATGCGATGCTCAGAATCCAGTACTTCCCTGCAGGGTGGAAGACTGCTGAAGTCATCATGATTCCACAAAAGGTGGGTTCGATATTTCCTCAGGATTACCGTCCCATTAGTCAGCTGTCAGCTCCTTCTAAGCTCGCCGAAAAGGTAATTTATCGCCACCTTGAAAATTTTTCGTCAAATCACCATGCGATTCTTGACGTTCAATTCGATTTTCGATCCGAGCATAGCACGAGCTACAGGCAATCAGGCTGGTGGAACATGTAACCAGAGGGTTCACCTTCAGCATGAGTACTAGCATCTTGCTTTTGGATGTCTCAAAAGCCTTTGACAACGTGTGGCACGCGGGCCTCTTCTATAAACTAATCCAAAAGGGTTTTCCTTTTTGGCTTATAAAATTACTGAAATCCTTTTTTGAAGGAAGGAAGTTTCGGATCAAAATTAACAATGTTTTGTCAACAACACGGCCCGTTCGAGCCGGTGTTCCTCAGGGATCGGTTCTAGAACCAATACTTTATTCGCTTTTCATCCATGATGTCCCTTGCCCCAGCAACTGTAAAGTCTAGCTCTATGTTGACGACACTGACGACTTGTCGCCCAGTCATGTACTGGTGATCCTGGTTCACGATGGGTTGCAGAGTGCGGTGGATGAATTACTAGAGTGGGCAATTTATTATACCAAAAAACGTCGCGGCCCCTCAGCAGAGGTTTCTGTAGATGGCAATCATGTACCATGAACAAATTCTGCCAAGTACCTCGGTGTCACCCTTGATAAAGGCATGACCTGGCAGAAACATACAGCAGCCTTGAAAACAAAATTCCAAATTGCGTTTCGGCAACTACGACTATATCCTTTGTTATGTAGATCCTCCAAATTGAGTTTGATAAACAAAGTTCGTCTATATAAAATGATTATTAGACCAGCCATTACTTATGCATGTGCGGCTTGGTGTTTTCTTGCCAAGACACACATGCAAAGTCTTCAAGTGCTGCAAAGCAGAACTTTACGAACAATTTGCAACGCTCCATGGTACGTCTCAAACGAGACACTTCACAGAGACCTTGACATTCCTTACTCAAGGGATTATGTCAAGCTTCAGGCGCAGCGACGTTATAGTCAAGCGGAATCGCACAGCAACCCTTGTTGCGTGACTCAGTGGACACAGTGGAGCAACTTCGTAAGCATTCAAGGCCACGGCTCGCACTGTAATCAAAAATTAGCGCGAACTTTTAGTAAACTTAAAATCACACTCTAACAAAACCGAATCAAACTTTGTTTAGTCCACCTCAAAATTGATCCGTATACGAAGTCAAGAAGCCTATAGGAGTTTCCTCTTAAACTAAACACTTCTGTTTTTCTTTGCTCTTCTTCTTTTTTCCTCTCTTTTCCTTTCTCTATTTCCTTGACATTGTCTGGTTTCTGGGCAACCAGGACTGACAGATTCGACTAACGTACATTAGACGGTGACTAATGAGCAAAGGTCCTACGGACCGCCCAGTCAAACAAATGACGGATATAGTACCTTCTCAAAGATTGTTGTATTTCATATTTTGACTGGAAATTGGGATCATCCTTAATGTAAATCCTGAAACTTACTTATTCTGTTGTTTTCATGTTCACAGAGCCGAATCAAAACCACATGTTTTGTTTTCTGTTTCGACCATTTGTTATGGCTAGCTCTCGACTGGACTATCACATCCAACTCGTTCCGAGCCCGAGACTTTATGTTGGTAACACTGATGATCAAAAACCTATTGACATGATTGACACATTCGACATGCGCCCTCTACCGGGTCAAAGATAAACTACTTTAAAACAACAAAATAATGCGCCCCAACCTCAAAATTATAGTAAAAATTGTTTTAGCGATATTTTTCTTAAATTTATACTGCCAATTCCTTATTTTCTATTTAGTGCAAATCAAGGTAACTTTATTCTCATATTTCACAGTAATTTTACCTCTTGATGTTTGAATGGCATCAATATAAACATTTTATTAACCCCATACATATCGAAAAACTTCTGGTAAATGGTTTTCAGATATCAGAAAATAAATATATGCTTCAATAGTAGTCTGTAAGACAGCATTGATGCTTTTGAGACACAAATTTGCAATATATACATTTCATCACTCTTATTCCATTGATTTTTCCTAGTGTGACTGGCCAGAGTTAGACCCTGAAAAAGAAGACAAATCTATTAAGACCATAAATGAAGAACCTGTTAAGGTCATGGTCATTGCTGATACCCATCTATTGGGGTCGAGAAATGGACATTGGCTGGATAAGCTCCAGAGGGAGTGGCAGATGTATCAGGCCTTTCAAACTGCCATGACGCTCCATAAACCAGAATTGGTTTTTGTACTGGGTGACTTAACTGATGAAGGGTTGTATTGTAGTGAGGAGGAGTTTGATTATTATGTCAGGAGATTTTATAGGTAGGCGGAGATTTCTCTATACCATTGCAAAATGTTTATATTGTACCTCTTGTCTCTGAGTAGGTCTTGAACTGGGTGCTATTTTTGAATCATCATAATTGCACATATCATTCTCAGTTCCAGGAATTCGAGTAATGTAATACAATTGGTAATCATACCTATGAATTTGCAAAAGATAGACAAACCTTCACTGAACATTTTTTTTTATACTGTGTTACATTAGGGGATATTAAGAAGATCGCTGCAAAGAAAAAGGCTAGGAAATTTGTTCAGGGATTCGAAGTGTTTTTTTTCTACTACATAATCTCTTCACTCTCTACAAGGCCAAGATAAGACCTAGCTTTGAGTACTGCTCAAATGTTTAGGGCAGTCAGACTGTCTAATGACACTTCTCAGTGGTCCAGTCTCAGGACCCTTTCGCACCAACAGGGTGTTCGTGATCTAGCTATCTTCCATTAAATGGGCTTTGCTCCTCAGAGATCTCATTCATGGTGCTGCTGCCTGATGTGCCTGCTAGACAGACCTGCCTGACCTCGGCCTCCCAACCTAACTGTGTTGACTTTTGTGCATTAAGAACTGGCTGATACAACTGGTCCTGTGTCCCTAAGGTATTGAGATTGTGGAACAATCTACCTGAGGAAGCTTTTTTCAGTTCTACTAGCTATGCACAATTCAAAAATCGCATGATTCGATTTTCATTAGAGATGATTTTTATAAAAAATAGCATTACAGGTTGTGAGTTGCAAGAAGATATTACTTAAAGGATCCTTATGATTTCTTATCCATGAATATTAAATGAAACTACAATCCATCTACAAATATTGCATTGACACCAGGAACAACAGAAATTATCGATGTTTAAAAACAGGGTTTAGTTTGGCTCCATTCATCATATGCATGGAAAACAACACAATCAACGTCAAATGTAGCTCTACATACTAGTAGAATATTGCGGAGGTGTTTCTTGCAGTCATACCTTCTTGCAACTATATTATACTTACATAGCCTGTGAAGAATGCCCAGAATAGGACTTCTGGGCTCAATAATACGTAAAATTTTGAATATTAATTAATACTAACTTCCAAAAGGCATACAATATATGTGAAATCATTTTCGTCAATTTTTTGTAGTGAATTCATATTTTTTACTACCAGCTTAATCTACTTTTTACTTTTGTATTTACAGTTTATTCAAAGTTCCAGTGGGCACAACTATGTATGTAGCAGTAGGAAATCATGACATAGGATTCCATTATAGAGTCAGTCCATATTTGAACCAAAGATTTATAAATGGCTTCAAGGCACCTCCCGTCCAACTAATTTCAGTAAGAGGAAATCATTTTGTCTTAGTCAACAGCATGGCTTTGGAGGGTGATGGGTGCTTTTTGTGCAAACCTGCTGAGCAACAACTCACCAAAATTGAAAGTAAGTAATTCCATTAAAATGTATTTTAATAAAAATATTAGAATACAATAAAATTAACAATGATGTTGAACTTGAACCATCTATGCTTTAACACAATAAGCTGTATTGTTGAAGAAACACATAAATGTATTTTAAATGTTATGTGACAGTACTTACTCAACCTGTTGTGTGTTTTCCATCAGATAATGCAGTAGAAGTGTTAGTGTGATAAACACGTGAATTTCTGTGACTTACCTTTGTGCTTTTTAATTCTAAATATAGTTTTATTATTTATACGATTTTGTCTATTATTAGGACTGTTACACTGTACTAGTGGTACCTACACAGAAAAATGTAGCTCTAAAATGAAACTTGATGTATATAGTCATCCAATCTTGATGCAGCACTACCCATTATATAGGCAATCAGATGCTGACTGTAATGATTTTGATGCTGCACCACTGCCTATCAAGCAGGAGAGATTTAGAGAAAGATGGGAATGTCTGAGTCAGGAAGCTACATATCAGTTACTGATGCAGGTAAATATTTCCAGCATTACAAATGATGATCTGCAAAACCTCATTTGAACCCAAACACAAATGCATAGTCTGCAGAACAAACCTTTGCATACCATCACCTTTAATGTCTCCAGCAGGACCTTTTATAGATACCTCGACATCCCTTACCATCAAACAACAGGTGCAGCTGTGTTATAGTCAAGCAACATGGTGCAGCAACCCTCTGTTACCCGAGGCGGTAGACCACACAGTCGTGCAAGACCGCGGCTCGTGAAATTACAGTTCTCGATCAATTTAAAATGACCAATGCTAGTTAATCCCAAGGCACCCATATAACTGATGCAGTTCGTTCTCTGTATTCTCCTATTCTCCCCCTTCATGTCTTTCTTCCTTCCTTCTTTCTCTGTAACTTAGTTTGTTATCTGGGGAGCCAGACCTGATAGACCTATTGACTTACAATACTCTAACCAAAAGCAGATGTCATATGCACCAATATGACAGACAAGAGGAGAAGACCTCATATAACAAATATAAAATCATTCATATGAAAAAGATTTTGAACATAATGTAGCAGTGGATATAGATTTGATATATCCAAACACCATTATAAAGTATTTTTAATTTTCAGGTTAAACCACGATTGGCACTAAGTGGCCACACTCACCATGGTTGCACTAGAAAGCTGCCCATTGGAGAGGGAATTGAAGTCACAATTCCAAGTTTCAGTTGGAGAAATAAAGATAATCCTAATTATTTATTGGTGAGTAAAAATTATTTCATTATGAATTAAGTTATTCAAACATTTTAGCATAGACTAACAAAAAACACAATTTAAAATGACGAAAACGTGAACAATTTATTGCTTCTGTTTTATAATGTTACGTCGCAATATTGCTGTCTTCTAGACCAGGTTTTGAACATGTACTTTGTGGTTTGAAAGCTTTGCATCTATCGAGACACGTTTTTGATTTCTTGTACAATATGTATATCAACTGTTTTCCAGCACATTCTCATATTGAGACGACTTTGATGTTATTTTTAGGCCGTATTCACTCCAAATAACTACGCGTACACCAAATGTGAGATGCCAAGAGAGTCTCACCAAAGACTCGCGTATATGGTAGGGACACTACTGATATTTATATGGTTGATATATTCTTTTATATTTAGGCGTAGAGGTAATAAATACAAGTATCGCTGACGATACTTTAGTATCTGGTGAAGGATTCGCTAATAAATGATAAATATTGGGAGCTTTGGCTTTTACTGATGATTTTACGCGGTTGTGTAAGCAAATCTAAGGTTGTGCATAAATTGCGTTGATATTGGTTTTCCATAATAACATGGCCAAAAATTGACCAAATGGTTCATTGGTTTACAAACACATTTTTTTTGAAATTTGTATCCATTTACCTTGATGTTTCTGACATTTGAATGTGTATTTTACTACTGTGGTTTAGATTTTGAAATAGTATATAATTTTGAAAATTGGTTATTATATTATCTCCACTCTTAGATAATATGGTATGTAATTTTGGAAAACATTATATATAACTATAATGCAGATGTTGAATGCTCAGCACATTATCAGTACCTATGAAAACTATTATGTGTCAAATGTACAAAAATTAATGTTTTGATGTAGCTTTTTATAAAATATATTGTATTTGGATCATTTTAGACATGTGTATTATAAAAATAACAAAAAATGATTTTATACTTTTTAAAGGGTTTGGAGAACGATTGAGTGATTTCTAAAATATATTTTTTGAATGCTGGATCTTATTAATTTGAGGAATATGAAGCTTATATGAAACATATTCACAGCAGTGTTTCTACTTGCCACCATTCAGTATTGTTTATGTTACATTATATATTTACATTCCACAGTCCAAAATCATCTTGCACCACTTAATGTAGTTAATCAGAAGATTATGGTTGACATGCGATTTAATACCATTGGTATGTAAATGACACCTGGATATCAATAAATAAACAAAATTGAAGAAAATAATTGTCAGGTTGCAAATGCATGTGTATTCGCTTTGGACTTTTATTATTATCATCGTTTATATTTCCAAATAAATATTTGGTCCAGACAAAAACAAGCAAATCCCATTAATAATAAAACCATGTGGTAAACTTTTTTTTACTGAGGTATAAAGCTTTATTACTTTTACTAGTGATTACATACATGAAAACAAAATTTTATATTAATTATATGCAGAAAAACGCGTCTACCATTTTGTCTCTTTATTTCCTCAAAAACGATTATCAAAAAAGGGGTATGCGTTTCGCTTTATCCCCGAAATGTTTTTTAAGATAAATAAATAAATCGCGTAAAAGCAATATCTAAAACGTCTCTTTTTGAAGGGGTTATAACTGTTCATAAGTTACATTGTCACATATTCGCGTATAATTATTTATCTTCAATAATGCCAAACAATTGATCGATTTTAATGAAACTACAAATTACCAGGGTACTTTCAAATTGCGGAAAAAACGTTGCTAGTCTTTAATTGTATCTATACTTAATTATTGTAATATGGTATATATTTTTTCATTAAGTTGTTTCACTAAAATATTGTTCAAGTAATTCAAATATTTCAGATAAATATATCGCGTACTAAAATGGATAAAATGCAACATTTAGAAAGATATCATCATTTAAATTTCACACATAAATTATTGCTATCTTCAAAGCCCGAATATCTTATCGATTCCTTCATTAAGGATGTACATTGTAAATGTTTGAGGAAAAAGAACATTGATATATCACAATATAACACAACGCTATTCGAGGGTAGTTTCTCATACAACGTTGGTATCTGAGATAATGTGATGCCTGAGACATAACAAAAATATTCACTTCCCGTTTTCCGCAAATAAATTCAAATTTTGTTCCATTCGCCATGTTTACTGCATCATGTATATAACTTATGTACAATCATACACCCCTCTATGTTTTCAATAAAGGTTATTTCATAGTGTTTCCTATTTTGTAAGATCTATTTATAGATATAATATTCCTTTCTTACCTCACTCATGCATGTTGGGGACTGATTGGTTAAGAGTAACAGTAGCACATGCTAAACTTCGCCAATTAGTCCCTTGTAATGTTTTTAATAAAGACGACTATTATTATTATGTATTGGGCTGTTTGAATTTAATTTTGTTATTCTGAAATTTTGAAGTATTTGATATAATTATTTGATTCAGCGATTAATAAATGCACTTTTTGTCTGCACTTATTTCAATACACCTTAGCAACAAAGGTTCGGTGAAAAAAAGGAATTATTGTTCATTTTCACAAGACATCTTACCGCGCTTTTGTGTCTAACATAGTATAACGTGGTCTATTTTAAGATATATCATTGCCTCAGTAAGAAAAAGCTGTTTTTCTTATATGTCAAGCTGTAATGTGGAAAACAAGCTTATTTTTTCAGACATATTTTTTATAAGGTATACCTGTTGTATAATATACTATTATATGTGCCAAATGTTGTAAGAAAAAAATAAATTAGTCAGTGATAAAATAAAACGGTTTATTTAACATACTCCTATTTATCTTTTCTCCCAATAAATACAAGATTTCCTTACAAAATAATACTGTTGGTCAAAATACACAAAGCATAACTAAAGCAAAATCAATTGAACACAGTGTAATTATTTCAAGTATATATAATATTAATTGCGAAATGTGATTCTGTAGGTTTGCGTAATGTGCTGTAAAAAAATTCATCTCCGAATCGTGTTGTATCAATATTATTGCTATATGCTGATTATTGTAAGAGATATACTCTCATAAACATTATCGATATGACTACAACTATATATTCAAATGAAACGTTCATTCTGCGCTTGCATTTTATTAAAAAGTCGATTGTCAATGCTTTTTTTTAAATGCAACAATTTGGTATTTGAGAAATTAAGTTATCCAACTTTCTATATCATATGGGCATTATTTAATTTTCATCTTTGAAATTATTGGATCAATGTATGAATTATTTTCAATTATTGAGAGGTATAATTTGGTCGTAAGTTTGCAAAAGTATACTATTTACTACTAATCATGGCGTTGCCTAGGTCGAAAGTACAAGGGCGCATTCAAGTAGAAAAGTGATAAAAAAATACTAGCATACTGTCACGGAAAGTCAAACATATATTGATAACAACAGAACAACACTTTCTGGCAATTAATAAAGTTGAATTGATCTTATTTTTATAATATTTCCATAAGTAATGAAATTCTTTTTATTTTTTTTTCTTCGAAAACGAAGAGATACTAAGAGACAAACAAGTTATGTATATCTGAAAAAAAATGTATCTTAAAAAAAGTCGGTGGCGTACATCGTTTTTGTCAATATCATTCGCGAGACCGCTCCCCGAGACGCCACATTATAATTATGTTTTAGTTAGTGCTAACCTCACGTCTTATTGGAATGAAGAATACTGCCAAATTTCAACATAATCGGCACACGAGTATTTGAGATAAAATACCTTTTTGTGAAACTTTGACGACCTATATCTTGAAAACCAGACTTTCGGGACACATGCTTATATAATTTTTTACTTAAATTTGGTTCAGTAATGCGTGATTGTGATTACGGCCTATCCTTACGTAACGCCATATATAGTGAAGAAACTATATCTATAAATAAGTTCCCGTGAATACTCTGGAATAGGTGTATTGCAATCCACTTTGTCTGAGTGGTTGACAGCTTGACCTGCAAATTCATTCAGGCATTCCGCTAATCCTGTAACCTCCTGGCTTCCTGAATATTCGTTCGCGTTCCGGCAAATCCCCAATCTGATACTTTTCCAGGATTTTTAGGGCGGACTTGCTATGACCGAAGCCCCTGAAGGCTACGCTTGCGTCCCTGCCAGCGTATTCCATGAGGAGATCCTTACCGCCAGGATGCTGTAACAAAAAAAATCACTTTATATAGGGTGTCCAAGATAAGGATCCTATGCATGGGGATCGTGGAAGATGCAGCTTAGGTTAATAGGTTAAACTAGGAAAAAGTTGCGTTCTTTGGGGCGTATTTACATGCCGTTGAGAAACTTGAATTTTTTTTGTAAAATGATGCTTAATATAGTGATATTCAGAATAACGAATATGCTTTTAACATTAGTTTTATTTTGTTCACAATAGGTGTTCGAACAGGTTGCAATTATTTTCTAAACATAAATATGAACAGTAGAATGAAGAATCACGTAACATTTCTGGTGTAATCATACTAAATGCTTCCGTATAAACTTTGTTTTTAATAAAACCCCGAACAAAAAAGTCCTGAGTAGTTAAATCTGGAGAACGCGCATTTTCTCAATTGGCCTAGTTCATATCTCGGAATTCTCAGCAACTGCTTGTAAAACGGTTTTCTGAGTTTCCTTCAAAGATTCCTTTTCTCTAGACGAAACAGGCTTTTTGAATGTACCATATTCATTTAAATTTCGAGCCATGTCTAAGGAAATGGGTTTCTGCAGTATTTTTGTAACACAAGATGTAGCACGTCAGCATGTCGAACTTTTCTTCATTGCTGAAATGACCGCCTGGCATCTTAAACGGTAATAAAGCAATATTAACAATACACAATAATAACAATACTTTGTGACAGGTATTTACGTCAAGTCAAACATTTGCTTGCAACGCCTTTAAAAAAAACAGAAAAACGCATTTTTCGTTATAACGATGAAAATTAATGTGTCATTAATTTTTTGATATTTCTTGAAATGAAGTCAGATAAACTAAAAGTTTTGTCAAATTTTAGTTTGTCCCAAATATCTCAGTAAACGATGAAATTTTTACAGGCTTCTCAACGGCATGTAAATACGCCCCAAAGATTGCAACTTTTTCGTAATTTAACCATGCCAGGATCCTTGTCTTTTAAATTTGGTGTCTCGCCGATTGATTCGGTATTTTCCATACATTGATTCTACTTTCAAATTGTATGTTAGTAAAAACTGTGCAGTGCAAAAAAAAAACAAATTTTCTGATCCCGGAAATAATTATGGAATAAAAAATATTAAACTACGAAATAGATTTTCGGATATGAAGAGCGCAAAGTATTTTGTCACTCAAAACAGTTGAGAGCACGGCACAGGTCTGTCGTATTCGTATTGCACACAGGGTTCTTATCTACAAACGGGAATATATGTCTTGTCGAGGAAATACAGTCAGGCGGATTATTATCATTATTACTTTCTGAATTACGTGGACAGTTATTCATTTAATATATTTATTAACAATATATTGATGAGGAAAATTGATGATATTTTGCATCATGTTACTGTTAACAATAGCGGACAAAAATGGTGTCTACATATATCAGTCACATTATATTATGAATTAGATCAGTTTGAATTTTCATTGCTCATGTAATAACGCCAAATCTTTCGTATTCTCAATTTTATGTCACAGTTATGTTAAGAATTATTGTCTTTAATAATAAGAAATAGTTTATGGGAATTTGAAACAACATTAATAATAGAAACTGTGGGCACGAGATTTTTTCCATTTCCCTGTCCTACTAACTTTGACCTATAGGATGATCTTTTTTGTTATAAATATTTAGTACAGGCTCTTAGTCACACCAATATAATATAAAAAAATATCAGATGCTTGTGAAATCATAAAATAGTGACGTCACATCAGAAAATAAATACAGTACTTTTCATTCTGCACTTGTCTGTCTGATCCAACATTGCATAAAGTCTCGCGCCCACTGGATCGAAGCGACGGCATTTGTCATTTGTACGAGTCAAATGTCCCGCGTCGCGTCGCTTCGCGTCTCTCTAGTGCGCGAGCTCTCATTTACTAGTAATTATGTATAAAGGAATCCATCGGGAGTGTTTCGCGTTTCTACTGTTCCCTTCCCTCGATGGCCGCGTGCCTTAAATTGGCCGAAAATCAAGACCACTTACGCTATTAAGACAAATCTTACTGATGTCAGGTCTACGTCTATATGCCTTCTGATAAATGTGGTCCCCTTTAGTGGTCAGCCAGAACAAATCATCGTTATTTTTACATTTTTACAGTAATAAAAATACATGAATTAAAAGCTAATATCATATTTATTAGTATTTGGGGTGCCTTCTTCGAATTTGGTCAACAAAAGCCAACAAGCATAATATGAAACCACAGACTGTTTAATCACATTCATATTTTACGTATAGACGTAAAAATATCGTCTAGGAAATGAAAGAAAAGTACATTATTTCTAATAAAATCAAATTTCCTATCTGAGTTAATAACCTCAGTAACTAATCATGTCACTCACCTCCTCCAAAAAATTCGTGACGTCATAAACCCGATCGTAGATGACCACCCAGCAATCACACTCGTTATCATGCCAAGAAATCTCTTCCAAAGTCAGTATCCTCAACTCCAATTTTTCTTCAACTACCTTTTCCTTGATCGGTACCACAACACTCGTTGTAGCTGTAAAATACTCCTGCACTACCGTCTTGACGTTAGCAGTCATCGTGTCCGACTGATATTTTGAACTAGCAACGCAAGTGTTGAAAATTTGGGAAACGTAAACAATCGCGATATCGGTTGTTGATAGATCCGCGGTTTTGTTAATGCTGCAGCGGCAGAAAAAAGTGTGTCTAGTTTCGTGCACGACGCAGGACGTGTATATATATAGGTATATATGCGGGGTGATGAAATAATTTGACTGGTAGTCACAGTGTTATCTCAGGATGTTTAGACATATTTTGATGGAAAATGTTTTCAGGTTCGATGGAAGCTTTAGCGATACGTAATCGCAACACTAGTTACCCATCCACAAGATTCGTACTTCCCACTTCCCGGAAAGTTTCGGAAAATTTAAAGTTTTATATCAGGTAACCAAATAAGTTCGTGCGGTTGCTGTATATTGCACATTGCCAAGGATGCTGTTGATCGATAGCGAATGTTTGTTACCTGTTGTCACTTTAGTATGAATCTTTCTTTTCTGACACACAAAAAGTTGCTGAAAATTGTTACATACCTAGTTTTAATAATTGAAAGTGGCGACGAATAAAACAGTAATTCGAAGTTGTTTACTGTATGAGTACAAACTTGGTACAAAAGCTGCAGCGGTGTCGCGGAAAATATGTACCGCATTCGGAGATGATGCCGTTGGTGATCGAACAGCATAGAAGCGGTTCAAAATATTTTCTTCGGGAGATCTCAGTTTGAGCGATGAACCGCGCTCAGGGAGACCAAAAATCGTGAACAACGAGTATCTTCGACAGGTTGTGGACGCAAATTCCAGGACAACGTGCCAAGAACTTGCAGAAATGTTCAGAGTGAGTCCTGAAACTATTCGTTTGCATCTTCGTCAGCTAGGAAAGACGTGGAAGTTAAGCAAATGGGTCCAACATGAACTGACAAATGATAACAAATTAAGTCGTCTTACCATTTGTTCAGCAAACATTTCGCGCAACGCTAACGAACACCATTTCTTGATCGGTTATTAACCTGCGACGAAAAATGGATCTTGTATTTGAATTCTAAGCGTTCGTATTATTGGTTGTCGCCTACTGATTCGGCACCACGCACGCCCAAGGCTTCCTTGCACCCAAACAAGGTTTTGTTGTGTGTTTGGAAGGGTTTTTGGAAAGGGGCCAAACCATCACTGCTAACTTGTTTTGTGAGCAGCTTCAACGAGTAGAAGCAGCACTCATCCAGAAACAGCCTTCCTTGATCAATCGGAAAAAAATGATATTCTTGCAGGATAACGCCAAGCCTCATACCGCAAAAGTGACCCGAGAAAAAATTTCTGAACTCGGCTGGGAAACATTACCGCACCCGCCATATTCTACCGACATTTCGGCCAGTGATTACCACCTTTTTTGTCTCTTGACAACTGTATGAGGCACCGACAGTTCACAAGTCGAGACGGTGTAATAAATGCAGTCCGCCAATTTTTGGACTCCAATTCCAGGGAGTTCTATAATACCGGCACACAAAAATTGGTTCCACGTTGGCAAAAGGTCACTGAATGTTATGGTAATTAGTGTCTTATTGTTTCTCAATAAAAATTTATCTTTTTCTACTAAAAACCGCACGAACTCATTTGGTTACCTGATAGAAAACCCAATAAACTCTGCAAATTTCATAAATATTTTCATTTTGCCTATTTTCAAATTTATGAGCTTTAAGAGTTCAGACAAAATTCTGCCTAACAAATCTGAATCCATGTAGACTTCAACCATACAATAACCGCCGATATTGTGAACTGACGCAGATTTGAAGTCCTATCATATCCTAATGGATAGCCATCAGAACCGTGTGTGTTCATACTTGACACAGTTCGGCTAAAAATAAATGTGGATTGTTTGACGTATTAAGACCCTTTATTGACATGAGCATCTAGGGGCTCACAAAATGGACACAAGGAAAAATAAGTAGCATAAAAAATAACTAGAAAAATGAATCCGTAGACATCCTGGACAACATTATGTGTCCCTTCTCAATTATAATAAAGATTTTAATAAATCATTTCACTATAACCTGCTTGTCTTGGACTATATTTACATGTATTACTTTGTACACTTGTTTGGCTTCTCTTATCGTATTTCCTCGCTCATGCTGGTACACCAGCAAAATTAGCGACGTTCATTTTGTATAGGGAGAGCTTAAAAAATAATGCGTCATATTTGTGCAGAGGAAATCTGTTTGTATATCTTGATTAGGACATTGTTACAATAATCATTAGATATTTTACTTAATCTTATGGCGAAATTTTGGTTGACGTCCTTTACAGTCTCTCACAAAAACTGCAGAAGCAGTCTAATTTCCCATGGATCTAATATACTACTTTACTGACTCTATGACTTAAAATTATACAAAAAATGCGTTTCACTTTATTTGGTGTGGTGAGTGAGAGATCTTCGCCTTATGAAATTAGAGGAGTTAAGAAGGTCTTTGAATTAGAGACAACTGTTACGCTCAGTTTTACCTGGATCGTTTAGTGTTTGCTTGTTAGCACACTCGTCTGCACGATAGTACAATAAAAGTTTTGTTATACAGATTTATTTACTGACTTCGTTCAAAGTAATTTCCACCACATTCGATACACTTCTCCATCCGCCAAAACCAGTCCTTGAACCAGCTCTGCCAAGTTTCACCTGGAAGCGCGGCACATTCGTTGTCCCAAGCTCTCAGAAGGTCCTCATCACTAGAAAACCGTTTTCGTTTAAGCTTCATTTTTAGATGCGGAAACAGTGCAAAGTCGCAGGGAACAAGATCTCGACTGTAAGGAGGGTGCTCAATAAGTTTCAGGCCAGTAGTGGTCAAATACTCGGTGCACGCTGTGGCGCGGTGAGTTGGAGCGTTGTCATTTTGTCGAAACATTTCCAGGCTGTATTAGTTTCCCTTATTTTTGATATTTTCGTACAGCATTAAACTTGATGCATCAGAAACAGATGAAAAAATGTTGACTTATTGCTTGCTTAAAGGTTTGTATGAAAACGTTTGCTTATAGAGATGTTAGAACTTATATATACAGGGTTCGAAGATTGTCCCAAAAGTGCTCACTGACGACCAGAAATTGCGGCGAGTGGAAGTGTGCCAAGAAAATTTGAACATGTGTGAAAGTGACTCCCAATTTTTGAATAACGTAATCACAGGTGACGAGTCGTGTATCTTTGAGTATGATCCCGAGACAAAGAGGCAATCTTCCGAGTGGCACACGACGGCGTCTCCTCGCCCAAAAAAGGGAAGAATGAGCAAATCCAACGTGAAAACGATGCTCATTGTCTTTTTTGACATCAAGGCATCGTCCACCATGAATTTGTTCCCACTGGACAAACCGTCAACGCCAAGTTTTACGTGGAAGTGCTCAGGAGACTCAAACGAAGGGTCAGTCGGGTCCGACAAGACATCGCAGCCGACTGGAAGTTGCACCACGACAACGCCCCGGCTCACACCGCCTTTCTTGTGAACAGCTACCTGACCAAGGCCGGCATCCCAACGCTTCCGCAGCCGCCCTACAGCCCAGATGTGTCCCCGCCGGACTTTTTTTTGTTTTCTCGCCTGAAAAGGCCGCTGAAAGGCAAGCATTTTGAGACGACAGAGGGGATCCAAGCAGCATGCACCGCGGCTCTCACGGCTATTCCGGAGAATGCCTTCCGTGACGTCTTCAATGCTTGGAAATCGCGCTGGCAGCTCTGCATCGACGCAGAAGGAGCCTATTTTGAAAGTTTTTAAAGAATTGAACGATTGGCTCAATAAATTTTTTTACGAGAATACACTTTATTGTACTTAAAGAAATAAACGGCCGATAACGCCAATATATCGGCCTCTGATTTATCGATATCGGCGAAAATCTTATATCGGTCCATCTCTAATTTTAAAACGGAAAAAACATTATCGCCAACTCTAAAATGTGAATTCGTGATATCGGCAGTTTTAATGGAAGCTTTTCTTGTTGAAAACATTCATATGCGTCCGTATTATCAATCAGGCACTGAGTGAGTGCTTTACGCCTGATTTTCAGTCCAGACATTGATATATAGATAGGATGTTGAGGTTTTTTAATACTTGTGTATCGAATTTCAAAGGAACTCCTACAAAGTTCACAATAATTAGTGATAAAACTTATGAAACATGTAAACAAAAATGACTACCAAATCAATTATGTAAAAAATAAGGCAACATTAATGTTCTCAGGCAGCTTGAACCTTCCATTGAGTTCAAAGAACTATTTTTTGAAACTGAAAATAGTTTTGGATTGCCTCGCATCAGCTCCTGTATCATTGTGTTATTTCTTGTACATTTACGTGTTATTGTGAAAACTATACACAGGTTTGATCAACATTTATTTCCGCATGTATGAATTAATGAATAAAATTCGGGGATGAAATATGTTATTCATGAAGTTTGCTCACCGAGGACAGAAATTTCGTTGTGACTTTGATATAAATATTTTTTTGGTCCTACTGTAAGTTGACAAAAAATTCATTATTATAAAAACATTACTAAAATATTACTTCACGTTGTTATTAACAAAACACTTAATTATTTGCTAAAATTTTGTAAGCTTCGGGTATTGATATGACGAACGTCGACTGATCAACAAATTTTCCTTTGTATGATGAAATGTCGAGAAATTGACGGTATTAATAAATATATATAATATCAATGTTATACAATGGTATTTGTTAATTTTATCAGCAATATTGTTTTAACATTCTGGTCCTACCATGAGATTACAAGCCATATACTTGAGTTGGCGAAAATACAAATAATGTGCTCAGAAGGATAAATGATTCAAAAAGTCACAGATTTTTGTATGGTCCACACAGTCCGCTTGAATGTATCTGTTGTGTTAAAATTACGCAATCGTGTTATGCATTTTCATTGATCATATCAAAATGCATCGTATTGTGAGATTCTTTTCCGGTAGATGTAACTCGACTCCTAAGTATCAATCTCCCATATGTAGTAAAAATGTATAGCCACATCTTATTTTTAGAATAAGCGGAGGTCAGAGAACCTCAGAAAAATGCGTTTTGTGGTAAAAAACAAGAACGTCCTTGTAATGAAATAGTACCTATTTATGCTGTTTCAATGATACGTAGTATTGGATGTCAGTTTTACAATTTGTAACAGATACGAAAAACGCGTATTTATCTGTTGTTGATTGAAGTGTATCCATATATTCTTATACGCGCTTCTGCGACACCAGACATCGATTGCTTTTCCTATAAGCAGGTGGTGCCCCCCCCCCAACAGAATATCCGGATTTATAAAAACTTCAATGTTTCATTTTGAAGACGACCCCCCCCCCCATTTCAATCGCCAATACCCCGTCTTTTGCAAAGACCGAGCATCAAAATTTCTACCAGTAGATGACTTTATTATATTCACTAAGAATTTATTTGAATAAACTTTCATATATTTTGCCCGAATGTCTATTACTAGTTACAATTTCTGCGATTGTCCAACATGAAAATCCAAAATAAGAAGAAAGACAGCATTCCTTAATTCAAATAACACGGATGTACTCAAATAAATATCTGATGTAATAAAATCGCTCGAGTCTAATATGTATTGTCAGCTACTTGCATTATCACCGTATTTTAGTAATAAAACAAGTTGATGATACACCATTTTAATCAGCAGAAAATCCGATGTAAGTATGTAGTAGAAAGTAGAAGAGATGGTGGGAAGGCGACGTCTGGCAACTAGGCTACCTTTGACCCTTTTTGTCGTGCCCATACTACTTCCATTTCACATTTTAATTACTTATTAATCATTGAATCAACCGGCTCCAACAATGCGATCCACTTATGTGGATCTTGCACTGTTTTGGTGCTTAATATAGACACACAGCATTCATAACTTTTCTAAATTTTAGATTAACTTTCTAGAATCTAGACAGAGATTCGAACCAGCGAGCCTTCGAGTCGACAAATTAGTAGCTCGACGCGCTATTTTCCATACTACCAGTGAGTGATCTGAACATAACGAAAATTTCATCCAATTTTATTATTTACTTACTAAGTTTACGTTTGACCCCATTTTTACAAAATAAAATTACATGGAATATACGGGAATAACATTTAAGACGGACAAGCTCACAATTTGAAAGATACTTTTTAAAGCCTGAGAGTGTACAAGTCGATACAGCCTGAATCAAATTGATAAGATGAAGTGTTCTATCAATTGGAGAGTGCTGACCATAATTTGTTGGATGGAACTTAATCGCATACATACAGATGACTGTTACACAGTGTTCTACAAGATACATAAAAAATGATCAATGCTTCTCGTATTCCAATGTAGGTAAATGCAAATGTTTTAACACGTCAACTCTATGATATTCAATCACGTTTATGTTCATTTGTATGCGAGACGTAAAAAATGCTCTAAATTATCTCATAAGGATTTTTCACATGTGAGATCATAGTTAATATTGATAAGAAGGACAGGACAAGGACGAACTGGAAACGTTTCGGCACCAACTTCTTTTATATTCAGTTTAGTAATCTTAGATGGCTTATTAAAAAAAATCAATCCTGCATATTCTGCGTACATCCAATCGGTTGAGGATGCCATTGCCACAGATCCTATTAAATTCTGGTCATTCGTTCATCTTAAAAAACAGCAATCTAGAATTCCATCTAGAATAACCCTTAACGGCAATGTCTCCGATACTCCTCAGGATATCGTAGACAGTTTTGCTGTTTTTTTTTTCATCAGTCTTTATACACTCTAATCCACAAAGGAACTTATCTTCAACAACTAAATCCAATAGTATAATTTCTCTCAATTATATAAGTGAAGATGATGTTATCATGGCTTCGAAAAGATTAAAGAACAAAATGACATCTGGATGTGATGGTATCCCAAGTTTTCTTGTCAGAGATTGTATTCACATACCTGCTAAACCGTTGGCTTCAGTATTTAACCTAATTCTTGAATTAGCGACATACCCATATATCTGGAAGACCACTAAAATATGTCCCATTCATAAGAGTGGTGATATCGCAGATGTTTCCAACTACCGACAAATAGCAATTCTATGTAACTTCGGTAAGTTGTTTGAGATCATAGTTTATAATACGGTTTACTGTTCGATCAAGGGTGCAATGTCTGTCAATCAGCACGGATTCATGAGCGGCAGATCTACGGTTACCAACTTCACCCTGAGTACTCAGTATATCTCCCAAGTATTAGACACTCGGGGGTAAGTTGATGTAATCTATACAGATATTCAGAAGGCATTTGATCAAGTTGATCGTTATGTACTTCTGGATAAGCTTAGGACCGTAGGTCTATCTGAGGGACTGTTGTCGCTCCTGAGTTCATACTTGATGGACAGAAGGTTGTTTGTTGAATATGGTGGTTATAGGTCGAGTTATTATCAGGCCACATCTGAGGAGCCTCAAGGATCGAATCTAGGCCCATTATTGTTCCTGATCTTTATTAACGATTTGTCTCTTGAGCTCAAGTGTTTGCATCTGTTTTTTGCTGACGACGTTAAGACTTACGCATCGGTCTAGTCAATTGATGATTGTCTCATGCTGCAGGATAATTTCATGGTGCACCTCTCTTAGTTTAAATGTTTCTAAATGTAAAGCTGTGTCTTATACAAGAAAGGCTAATTATTTAATATATGATGACTATAACGTCAACAGTCAGGTTCTAGACAGATGCTACTCTTTTAAGGTCTTTGGAGTAACCTTTGATAGCAGGCTAATGTTTAACGAATATATACTTAATATCTCATCGGCTGCTACCAGCTACCAGACTACTTGGCTTCTGTATCAGAAACTGGAAGGGGTTCTGCAAAGTCAGTACTTTAATGACTTTGTTCGTTACTTTTGTCAGAAGCAAGTTGGAATATGCAACCCTGATCTGGTCTCCAATATACCTAAATTCAGTTTCAATGATTAAAGGCATTCAACGTAAGGCTATTAAGTATTTTTACCTTATCCAGAAAGAGGTTTTTGTCATCATACTCTTTTGATTTTTTTCGGTTAAGATTCACTATTAATTAGACGTAATATGTTTGCCTTATCGTTTTTATATGGCCTTATGCACAATCAAATTGACTGTCCGCATTCCAAGGCTTGAAAGTCGTCAACAATCAGACTTTGATTGTCAAGCATGCCGGACAAACGTAATTAAGAAATCTCCAATTTATGTAATGTGCAGTCTGATGAACTCTATTTGTGATCTCTGTGATATTTATAATGACAGCGGTAAATCAATCATAAATTGCTATAAGTCATCGATTGTTCTCTGAGCTTACTTAGGCCAATTGATGCTAAGTTTAAGTTTTCAATGTGTCTCTTTATTTTATTTTTGTTAATGTATTTGAGCTTTCCCTGTTATTGGGTTTTACCTGTAGGAAATATGAAATATAAATAAATAAATGATACTAAGGAAACCATACTACAGAACTGTGGCATATTCTAGATTTGATATCACCAAGGAGCAGTATGAAATTCGGAAGGTGTTCATTGAAAAACACAATTTCTCCATGCCTTTTATACTAACTGAACATTAGTAACAATCACACGATGTTACCTAATTGTAAGAATTAATGTTCACTAATTTAACACGGGCAGAACGTTTCATGATTATTGTTTTCTCTATTCGTGTTTGCAATGAACAGCTGATCAGCAAGTGACATTTTTGTGTTAGTCTGCGACGTTGGCAATAATGAATCTGGTGTAAATCTAGCAAAAATTGTTTGTAGCGTTTTGTTTTTTTTTGTAAGCAAATGAAGTTTTATAAGTAAAAGAGCGGTTAGCAAGTACAAAATGTATCTGTAGCGTACAAAAAACCAAAACAAAATACGGTTCCGACTACGTGACGTTGACGGATCCGTCAAAATTATGTGTCCTGTGCCGATATAGGGAGTTCTGAGAAATTACTAGATAATCAGCTGTCATTCTACAGTGATGGATACTCGTGAAATAGGGTGTACAAGTCATTTTATGAAATAGTAAATATTTTATAACCTCAATAATTCTGCATTCTGGCAAAGCTGGGGGTGAGCAACACAAGGTAAGCAACTATGCCTGAATAGGGTATCAGATGAAAGAATTTTATTTGTGGATTATTGAGTCGGATTGAAAGCACACCGTCCAAGTTATTGAAACAATAGAAGCATTTTTATGTATGCGAGTTTAGTAATATTGTTAATAAATCAATATCATGAGACTCATCAAGGTTGTGTTATTTTTACAAGCTTTTATTTAACTTGACCTGTTTGTGTTAGTACGTTGGTATGTACTTGTGGGACAAAGCTTGGAATTCAATTTGGAGCCAGTGAACCTTAACCAGTCGAGATGAATTTTAGTACACACGTCTGGTCCATCTGACAATACAAATTCACCGCCGCCATTTTGAATCCAATATGGTGGCCGCCGCAAAATGGCGACTTAAATTTACAGTCACCCCTATGACATGGGTATCAAATAAAAGGGTTTAATAAGAGAAACACAATAAGCACACTAACACCAAACTAAATCCAATATGGCAGCCTCCGCAAAAAAGCGATTTACAATTCTTAATATTCACCACTACAATATGGATATTAAATAAAACAGCTTGATTAGATAAACGGACTAAGCAAAATGACGTCATTCTAAATCAAATATAGTGACCGCTCCAAGATGGCGTTTATAATTACCATAATCACCCCCATGACATAGGTGTTAAATTAAAGGGCTTTATGAAACATAAGCTACGTGACGTCATTCTAAATCCAATATGGCGGCCACCGCATGGCGAATAAATATCTATATTATTTTTATATCTATCGAAATTTTATAATGCAAAATAAAGTAAGAAGTTTTATGCACTCGTATTAATGAAATATATGTAGAAATTACCAAACCATATTTGATATTATAAATACTAAAAAATAAATAAATTAAAAAATACATTTTGAAAAACAAGCTTTTATTTAGCTAAAAATTTGAACATATTTTTTCCGATTGGAAATATTTTAACGAAATTGAAGCTGCTCCAGCTAATGTTTTCAAATATAGGCGGGTCACGTTTTAACAAAAGAATGGAAAAAGGGTGAAACGCGCTTTTATTTGAATACTGATTTTTATTAACAGCTAAATAAAAGCTTATTTTTAAAAAGTTTGTTTTATTTGATTCATTTAAATTGATTACCAAATAACCTGTTTGACAAGTTTTTTGTTCACGTCTCGAATTTATAGTGTGATCATTAACCGAAATTGCTGATATAAATGGGGTATTTGGCCGGTATGACCAGGTAAAAAAAAAATAATTTCAATTCATTGGCATTTATTAGAAAAATTACGATAAAAACTTTCTTATAGTATTATAAAAGCACTTTTTACATTTAAGTACCAATAGGGGTTACACATTCACAATTTGTTCATGTAAACTGGGTTACAATACTTGATCAGATGAAAAAAATTCGAGTTGGTCACTTGGAAAACAGTAGTGGTCCTAATATATACAGGGCATACTTAAAACTAGGTCTACACATGGTTCATTTTCCTACACATTTATTCAACAAAATCGTTTACAATGGCAGAAAACGAAATACCCTAGTTAAAATTGGTAAATGTAATATCAAATAATCATTATTTTCAGACAAAATGATAAAATATTTTTATTAAATAGTATGCAAAAATTGTAGTGCACTGAATATAGATACCAGACGTCAGAATTGCTTCACATATTATTCAAAAATTGGCGTTTAAATAGAATTTGTTTAATATCTACCAATAATAACTAAAGCAATACATTCATCTTTACAAATAATTGCTTCAAAATAAGCATACACATTATTAACCAGTCATCTAAATTTTCGAAAAAAATCCAGGCATCTATTTGTACTAAAAATGCATAAAGAAGGCTGGTTAATGACATAGTTACGTAATGTACAAAATAAGTTAAAAAATTGTTACATCAAGCAATTTGATATTTTGTCTAGAGATTCCTTCCAATTATTATTTTAATTGAAATTGCTAAATTATGTACGTAAAGTGATACTGCCTGCCTCCAAACTTTTTAGTCAAAACATGTGTATTATTCAACATCTGTCACCTCCGAAACATAATATCAAATCACCTGAACTGAATATTGCTTTTAAAAAGTAACATAAAAAATAAATATTAAAGAAACGTTCCTGGTTCAAGCTGCGAACTTCAGAACAGAAAGAGATAGAGAGTATTTTGTGCTGGTATCACAGATGTTAATTTGTTTCGTATTTGTCATTGACAGCTCGAACATCTGTGTCAAACACAGCGTTCAGTAGAACTTCTGGACATAAGAAGGATGTAAGTCAGAAATGATAGTAATACAGTAGCGGACAAATATTAACATTATTATGAACTATTTTTTATACCTAAATTGAAATTGTGAAGGAACAGATAATATAAATATTAAAGTCTACCTTTGGCTCCCTTACTAATACGAAGTTTATCTTATCAATGTTCTGAAAATAAAAATACGCGTTTTTTAAATACTACAATACAGTTTTTGTAACGACAAAAGATTTATGAGACAAAGTAATTAAATTATTTAGAAGTGGTATCAGAAATGTCAACATTTCTCAAAGATTAAATATGAACAAAAGGACGATTTCGCATAGAATACGGATCGACAGCAACGCGGCACACAAAAAACCGAAAAAATCCGATTGTTATGTTTTCTATCGCTACTTTAAACAACAATGGAATACAGTTTTATGGAGCGATGGCAGCAAATTTAACTTGTTTGGATTTGGCAGTACAGCATATGTGAGACGTCCATTATGAAAAAGATTCGACAAAAAGTATCAGCTGCGAACAGTTAAGCACGGTGGAGGCAACATCATGGTTTGGGGCTGTTTTTCTAGTTCTGGAACGGGTCCAGTTGTTAAAATTGTTATTAAAATGGACCCAAAAAGGATTTATTTGATTATGTAAAAAATATCCCAACTGACGTCTTTAAAAAAATTGATGTCTTCTATGAGCAGCAGATGTCAGGCAGTCAGTTAATTTTGTAATAAAAAATGTTTCCATACTTTTGTAGTCTCATTTTTGGTCATAAAATAATATGAAGGTATTTAATGCTAGTCTGTAGTACCACAGCAAACACAAATTGTCATTTGTATCATCAAGACTGTAAGCAATCTATATGAGAAAAAAATAGTCCTTAATAATAAAGAAAAAAAAATTAGCGCACTTTTTAAAATTACTAAGAATGTTTCCAAACTTTTGTCCGCTACTGTATGTCAAAATCGATATAAGCCAGGAAATAGTTGATTTTGTCGACATTAAATTTTTTGGAGGTATAGTTAGATTATTGCTTCCTAATGATAAGTTCATATTGGCGACATGATAGGGCTGGAGCATTTGCCGCCGTTTTGATAAACGCGTTGGACCGAAAATCTCTAAAACCATCGATTCTATGGGAAAAATAATGAAAATAATTTTGTAGGGAATATCTTGCCTGATGCATTATCTACTACAACTCATCTTCCGTTAAATCGCTGCAACCGTTACTGAATTTACTCCGTGGAAAAATAGACAAACTGATAGGAGTGAGGGACTTGATTTTCACAAATTATCAAGAAATATTACATTTTTCATACTCTCAATGTGGTAGTATAAAAATAGATTTACATTAAAATGATCATAGATGATGATTATAAAGTCGCGAGAGATAAGAATTTCCAACATTCCCTCCTTATACTCCAAGAACCGTCAATGTGTCGAAAAAATATAGGAGGAAATATCATTACGTGTCCCTTCACTCTTTATTTACTCATAATTTTTTATAGAAGCAAAATGTTGAAGAATTTAATTCCATACAAATACGTATAAACGTAGTATTGTCAAAGGCTGTAGAGCTCAAAATTGCTTCGTTCTGATATTTTTTTTTGCTTGCGAATTATATATGACATTTGGTAGAATAATGTACAGATACCTATAAGTACAATATAATATTCTTTGGTTCTTGCCCAGAAGTTCCTTTTTACTCACCAATTTTTACTACAACCTATATTTACTCTTGGAATTCTTCCCTGAGTTATCGGACTCTTCTGGTTTCTTAGGACGTAGGATGAAATTGAGGTTATACTGCGTGTTCACCGCATAGTAAACGTTGCAGTTTTGTGGAAGAACCATTTCTAGAAAAAAGAAAACATATTCCTTATCGAGTATACTGACCAGGTACTATTTGAGTCTCAACAGCATTTTGACAACATACAAAACTGGTTTAATGTCAACATTCTCTTAATATAGCGAAAAATCAGTCTCTTTTACTCAGTACTACTCCACATAAAAGTAATTTGATAGAACGGTGTAAAATTCTTTAATGCCTGCCCGGTTTGTGTCGAACACTCATCCCAACCATTTTTAAACAAACTGTGAAAAGATATTTAGTGACGAAAGCTTTTCACTTTTACTTTTTAATAATGACTTTGTTCGATAATTTTTGACTAAATCGTCGTAAGCTACTTGCTAAATGTAATTTGTACGGTTTTTATATATAAATATGATGGGTAGTTTTTAAGCTAATCGCTTCCAAAGAGTAACTATCGATATGGATGTGTCGCCTAAATGCGCCATTTCGTCTGGAGTACCCCAAGGTTCTGTACTCGGTCCATTATTGTTTAATTTAAATATCGCCGACTTGCACACATTTGTCAAACATTGTAGTATTCAATTTTTTGCTGATGACTCTCAAATTTATAATCACTTCCATAGTAGCAACACTCAAATTGGTGAATATGAAATTAATGAAGATATAAAATTAATTAGTGCATATGCAAAAAATCGTAACGTCAAACTGAACCTCGTTTTTAAAAAACAAGCTGATCCCTCGAAATTATTTTCACACAAGAGACATACGGTTCATTCTTTTATAAGTGGTTCACATAGAACACGATAACGCTTTATAGTGAAGTACCTCAGGCATTAAATTCAATAAATTACAGTGACTTTAAAAAACAAATTAAACAATTAATTTTAGGAAAGTCCTCACCTACATAGTCTGACGTCTCACTTTGCATTTTTTTCCTTTTCCTTGTACATTCACATGTATAATTAAAATTGTATTATTTACTATTAGTATACTTAGGTATATTCTTTCACATATTTATAATCGTTATGGTGTTTTTTGAATTTTCAAGGGTTAAGTGGCAGAATTGCTTCAAGCTAAACTTCGCCCTTTAATAAAGAGACGTTTATTATTATTATTATATTTTTTGAAGGGTATGTGTAATTTTTTTGTATTGCTTTTTATTGTCCAAATACTGTGTGACGTGTGCAAGCACTGTTGGGTACAAACACGAATAAATAATTATTATACAAAAAAAAATTAATAACTATCGAATGTTCGTCTATATAAAAAGATAGGGATACCTTTCTCGGGCAAAACTTGTGCAAGAGTATACTGATCAGGGTTCCCTTCCAGTCCTAATTTGTACATGGCATTCCTGATAACTTGCGGTGTCCTCTCATTGTTGCTCAGCATAATACTTTTGTAAAGCACCACACCATCTGTTTCAGTGCTGTCAGTCTCATAGGTCACCTTTATTATATAGAAGTCTGGGCTGCTTTTTTGAGAATGATTACTTAAGGTGCCAGAACTATTGTTACAAGGTACCTAGAACAAAACAGAAAATATCAATATAATGCAGTACATCACAGTATTTTTGGACTTCAAAAGGGCGTTTCAGACAGGGATAAATTACTTACAAAATTGCATCACTATGGATTAAAAGGATCTGTATTCAAAATTCTACAAAACTACTTAATTGACAGAAGTCAAAAAACCAAAACTGAATCTAGATTATTAAGATCAAAAAATATTGTTGGTATACCAGGTATATTCAGATATTTGCAGATGATACATTATAATACATATAAAATGAAAATGTAGACACTGCTTTAAAAATGCTAAATTCTGACTGGGGAAAAATCATAAATTGGTTAAATGTACATAAACTAAAATTGTTTGTACCTCTAAAACAAAATGTATGGTAATAGGAAAATACCTAAATGAAAATATTATCACAGGATAAATGGTGAAATAATTGAAAATGTTTAATCAATTAAATATTTAGGTATATATATATTGATACTAAACTATAGTTTGAAGATCACTATTTCACAAATTACCAAAAAACAAATTACTTTTACAGGGTTTCTCATAGTCACATATTCCAAGAAACTCGTTTATAATACAATTATTCTACCGTTCACTGCCAATGAAGCTGTACTCTCAAAATTACAAGTCCTGCAAAATAAAGCTATGAGAATAATATTGAATAAAAATAAGTAAACCAAAATAAAATCTGTTACAAGAATTGCAGTGGTTGAATATAAAAAAATTCATCACATATTTGGTTCTCATTTTTATATTTAAAATAAAAAATCTTTTGCCACAATATTCAGAAGACTACATACTCGTAGAATTGAATAACCATTACCACAATTATTATACAAGAGGAAATATGGATGTTCATTTACAAAATTGCAATAGTAATTTAACTAGCAAATCAATATTTCAGAAAGGATTACTTGAATTTAATAAACTAAATAATGATATAAAATCTACTTGTAATTTTAAAGATGTTTAAAAGAAAATTAAGGGAATATTTCATGGATAGTGAAAATTCTTAGAGATGCAAATTTTGTTTTTTCTATGTAATTTTCTATGTTATGTAATTGTTTATTTTTTTAGAACAATGTAATTATAGCAATCGTGCTAAATAAATCTTAAACAAACAAATCCTAAGCCTGCTAAATGGACTCGCCAGACTCCTGTTCTCCTTCCACTTCAAGCAAAAATAAAAAAAAACAGTAATGAAAACAACTGAATCAGACCAAAAACCCCTTAAGTCCATTTTTACCATCATGCTTTTCTCACTAGATGCACCAAAATATAAATTTTAAATTCACTAACTACAAAAATAAGATTACAGACCTTTGCCTGGAATCGCTTGTTTAAGAGTTTCCTTGTTTCCTACCAAAACGATCAACTCATTCCTTCTCATTTATTTAACTAAGAAGGTCCTTTAAACAGGCCCTAAATATTCTGAATAACTGTTCATATAAATAGTATAAAGATGGAATTACATGTTGTACAACAACTATCTTGCAATGCCAATTTCTTTATTAAAAAATGCAGGGAATTTATGAGATTTTTGGACTGAACGATTCAAAAGAAATTCATTAGTTATTTCAAAGTTAATAAATTAAATGCTAAGTTGGTCATGTTTATCAAGACTTGTCAGTCAATCGAACTTAAAGTTTGCTGTGAAATGATTCACACAGTACTTTTTTAGTGCAACATTGGAGCGGTTGTGTATCACCCCTTGTGGTGAAAAGTATTGAATACCTGAATATAGATCATAATGAAGATACGAAATTTCATCTTTCATATGCACTGGGTTGAACGGATGTTTTCTTCATCTTTTTGTGACCTTGAAACAACCTTTAAATGCCCTCACAGGAGCTACCTTTGATTCTGACTCAACAAGCAGAAAAATCTAAAAAGCATGTGGTTGGACTGGGCAACAGTTGTCTTGAAAGTGACTCTAACCCCCGATTTAAAATCGTCAACCCAAAAAATCCTAGTGTGCTGGATTTCGGATAAATGTCCTAAAAATTGTATGATCTCGGTTAAATGTCCTATAAATTGTATTTTTGTTAGTTTTTCGAGTTCTGGACCACTGTGCGAGGTCGAAAAAAAACCAGTAACCTTATCCTTGGCATATTATTAACTGAAAAATTGAAATATGTGCAAATAGGCACTTCATCTGTAGATAGAAACAGTATAAAGAAGCCTCAAAACTACATTTCCTCACCTGTAACTTATTGTTGGCGCTTCCTGAATGTGAGCTATTTAAAGATGCGTCTAGTGATGGCAAGCTGGATGTGCTACTGGAACTGGACATTTGTGAAGGACTCAACTTACGATCTACTCCATTTCGGGGAGAACCTGGAGTACTATCTACATCACAATAAAACTGGGAACTGTTACTACTACTGGTCGATGCTATCGAGTCCGTCTTCTGATGACCAGGAGCTGAAAATAACAATCTTGAATCAAATCCAAGCGAATAGCCAAAATTTCTGTAGTATTTACAGCGATTATAATGTGGTTTAAGATGACATACGAGTTGATGATGTTAGTTACTCGAATCGCTTGAACGCGTTGGTTTTAATCGCGGTTTTGTTGCAAGTGCGTATATAATTTCTGATTATTTTTACTATTACTTAATAATCGGTGCTTTTTCGTCTACCACACTGATATCGAAAGTTTAAAAAAGAAAACTTCCAAAATATTAATGGGAGAAATGTCTTTTTTTGCTTTGTAGCTATGATAACTTTCAATTCTTCAAACTTTTCCGCATGTCAAAGTAAACATTTATTGATTTAGCAGAAATTATAGGAAAAAGCGTTGAAAAAAGATATATTGGTATACAGGTGGACACTATCCAGTGAGTTTATATGGCCATATTTTAATCTTCCTGTGGTATATGGCTACGCAGGATACTTTGTTAAGTGTAGGAACTAGAATTAAAGTGTCCTCAACAACCGTAATGAGTATAACTAATAAAGTGTTCTTTTTATGCTAAATCTGAAGTCAGCTTAAATCAACTTTCCTGAAAACGAAGCTGAGGTACAACAAAAATATCCAAAACCCGACAAAATTCTAACTTGTCACATTTCAAATAATAACAGAAACTACTCCGGAGGTGGGTAAATACCAATCCAAAATTTCCATTTTCACTTGGTTATTCGCTTGAATTTGATTTTGGTTATAATAAAAATATTTACTACGGCAGTTAAAACGTCAAAACGTAACCACAAATAACAGATGTTCGAACCAAAATACCAAAAATATGGGTATTCGTTTTCGATTAAATTTACACTCAGTATTAGTCTGAGAGAGAAGAGGCACAGTGGGCGACACACTCATTGTAGAAATGGCTCCAAATTATGACAGTGTGGTTGCAAGACCTAGATTGGAAAATGGCTAAAGAAACATTTTATTTTTAGACAATGTGGGGTCTCATACAACATACATAAGCCTAAATAGTATGATTATCTTTTTGCCCCCTAATTGCACATCAGCCTTTCAAAACTTATTACCTAATCTCCTGCTAGTAAACATTGAAACTGCCGGTACAGCGTTTGAGTTAATAAAGAAAATGACGTCACTGGATGCAGTTTATTTGGCAAAAACTGTTCGGGACCAAAGAAACAGTGCAAAATTGCTTCCGCAAAGCAGGATTTAAGCATGAAAATATGCAAAGTGAAGACCAGTTAAATGAGGCTGACCCAGAATATGACTTACCACTTAATGTACTAAGAATTTATTGAAATTGACTGATGATGAAAACCTTTATGATTTTTTGAACCTAGAGGGAAGTTAGTACGTTGAAGATCCAGATTCAGGCCAAGAAATTGAAAATCCAGTTGAAATACAATAAATTTCCGAAGATTCTGATGTCGATGAGGTTACAGTACCAACAGAAGCTATTCCCAATTATGGTAAAGCTATTACCCTGACCTAGCAGCTCAAAAGTTTTGTCGAAAATCAGGAGGTTCTTTCTAAATTAGAAATATATTTTCAAGATTCCATTTTAAAGAAAAAGAGGAGACAAATGGCAATTTACGACTTTTTGCGGGCTTACAAGTGATTTCATTGTTTTGTGTTACTACATAAATGTATGTACATACATATTATATTATAGATACGTATGCAGATTCTTTGTATAAATCTAAAGGTAACAAACCTATTTTTTCTTGATTTCAAAGTTTTTTGTTTATTTTGAAAACATTTATATACAGGGTGCGCCATCTTTTATGTCGGTATGTAAACATGAAATAACTTTGAAAACTAAAAACTGATTTCTATATATCGGGTATTTTTATTAAATATGGTCCTTTACAATTTATTGGGACTAGTGTTTGAACACAACATCTATCAAGTGGCCACCTTTATTGGCCAAAACAAAATGTGCCCGTTTTGCTGCGTTTTCCATTACTTTTTCGAGCATCTCTGGCGGTATAGCCGCGATTGCGGTACGAATGTTTGCCTTGAGTTCTTCAGTGGTCTGGGGCATGCTGGCGTACACTTGACTTTTCAAATAACCCCACAAGAAGAAGTCCGGTGGGGTCAAATCTGGAGACCTGGGTGGCCAGTCAATGTCACCTCTTTTTGACATCAGACGTCCAGGGAATTTTCGGTGCAGAAACTGGATTGTTTCATTTGCAGTGTGGCATGGCGCACCGTCTTGTTGAAAGTAACCATCAAGACCTTTTTCACGCATTCGTGGGCAAACATAATGAGTCAACATCCACCGATATCGATTTCCACTGTTTCGTTTTCGTTGTAGAAAAATGGCCCAATGATGGTTTTGGCGCAAACACCGGCACAAACAGTCACTTTCCGGTCATGCAACGGCATTTCGTGGATTTTCCGACTCCCAAATGCGGCAATTTTGCTTATTAACGCCGCCAGAGAGCGTGAAATGGGCCTCGTCGGTCATCACAATTTGCTTCCAAAAATCAGGTTCAGCATCAACCATGCGAGCGACTGTTTGGGCGTATAACAAGCGACGTGGACGGTCAGTTGGCAATATTTTTTTGTGTTAACTGCACCTTATAAGGAAATAAATGCAAATCATCCTTCAAAACGCGCCGCAACTTGGTTCCACTGATGCCAAAATGCTGAGCGCGGTAACGATACGACACTTTTGGGTTCTGGGCAACGCTGTCTCTGACCGCTTCAACCAATTCATTGGATCGTCTCGGTCGTTGATGAACGGTATGTTGACGATCTCCCACTGACCGGTACTCAAGAAAATTCGGTCGAAAAATTTGACACCCAATTTTCATTATTGGATAATACCCGACCAAATAGACCACATCCAGCACGCAGTGAAGAAAATATAGCTGCGGTAGCTGAGAGTATACGTGAGGACCGTGAAGAATCGATTCGGCGCCGTTCTCAACAGCTTGGCTTGTCGTATTCAACAACTTGGCGTATTTTACGTAAGAATCTTAATTTGAAACCATACAAAATTCAACTCGTTCAAGAATTGAAGTCGGCCGACCGTCCAAAGCGTCATCGTTTCAGTCTTTGGGCTCTTGCACGGCTTGAAGAAGATCTGACGTTTTCGAGCAAAATTTTGTTTAGCGATGAGGCCCATTTTTGGCTTAACGGCTACGTTAATAAACAAAACTGTCGTATTTGGGGTGAAGAACAACCCGAAGTGGCTCAAGAGCTGCCATTTCATCCAGCGAAAACAACGGTTTGGTGTTGTTTATGGGTCGGTGGAATCATCGGTTCCTATTTTTTTAAAAATGAGGCCGGTCAGAACGTAACTGTGAATGGTGCTCGTTACCGCGTCATGATAACGGATTATTTGCTGCCTGACATTGAAGCCCGTAATCTCGATGACATTTGGTTCCAACAAGAGAACATTTCGATGAACACTTAATTTCACGATTTGGACCAGTGAATTGGCCACCTAGATCATGTGATATCACTCCTCTAGAGTTTTTCCTTTGAGGCTACGTTAAGTCCAAAGTCTACATTGATAAGCCCAATACGATTGAGGAATTAGAAGCCAACATTACGCAGGTCATTCGCCCAATTCCAGTCGAAATGCTCCAACGTGTCATCGAAAATTGGAACTTTAGAAGGGACCATCTCAACCGCAGTCAGGGCCAACATTTGAAAGAAATAATATTAAAAAAATAAATGTCAAAAATAGTTATTTTCTTTAATAAAAAAGATTTGACAAGAAAAAAGAATTTTGTTATTTTATTTTATTGCTGAAAAAAGCACCTATAAATGAATCACCCATTATTTCTTTCATACCGACACCCCTCTTGAACGGACACTTTCAGTCGTGGTTGGTGGCCGTCCAAAGGAGATTTCACTGTATAATCATTGGAATCTGTTAAACAATGTTATTACAACCAAAGCTGTAACTGTGAATAATACTATAATTGACCATAGCTTGAAATTCAAAATCGTAACATACATCTATGGTGTGAATTGCGGGATGAAATAAAGACTTTTCAAAATGGTTTGTCGAACCACTTACCTCGCTTTTTAACCTTCGCACTATTATTTGCTCCTCCAGGTTCAATTTGACAACTAAGATGGTATGCTTCCTTATCATCGAGCACCAAAATCGTGTCAAACCACCTGTCGAATGCAGGATCCTCAGAAAAGTTGTAAGCGTTGGCAGCACCTAAACATATATCATAATCCATTGTAAACGGTTGGAAAATGGCTAAAAGCAAAACTAATGATAACTGTCCCTTAATATTCAATGAAATATACATACTGAAAGCGAGATCGCATCTTTGTCACACCACTTAAACTCAAGGTCATGGCAAAATGTCAGTAAGAATATTATTTACCCAAGAGTTTATGGTGTAACATTTGAAATTTATCCTGTGGCTTTCATGCTGATAGAACTCTATGTTTCTCTGGTCAAATATCTCGTGTGTTTGTGTAATAGCTCGTGCATTCACTTGAGATGACAATGTGTGGCTTGATATACGATAAAATGGAATGCTTTATTCAAAATAATAAGTGAGAAAAACCTTACCTTGCAGCAGTTTAATCTGTGCCAACACCTCGAACTCTTTTCTGCGCTTATCGAAGTTAATCAAACCATCTGCTATCGTGTCAGGTATCGCTGTGTCGATCATGGTGAGATCAGTAAGGAAAGTTCCCAGATAGGGTATCGTACCGAAGGATATGTTTGCTATGTGGTTGTTCTGTTTTTGCAGCACCTGATTAAAAATCAATGGTCAACGACTGAACATAAGATACAAGCATAGTTTCATAACAATCCCGTAAACTATCACAAATTTACATTTTTCAAGGAGCCTCACATCTGCAACAACATGTGTGGGGATAGGCAAATATGATAAAGAGAGTATTTGAACTGCAGCCAAAGATACTCTTGCAAATAACTACTTTATTTATAACGGGTGTTTTTTTTTTCGAGGTATAGAACTTTAAGTTGGCATTACTTTTGAAGATGGCGACCGATTTGACAGCGGTCAAGTGATTTATTCTCAGTCTGGTTTGGCAATTCATCATGAATAGACTCACGGCTGAACAACGCTTGCAAATTGTGCAGTTTTATTTCGAAAATAATGGTTCTGTGCGGAATACGTATCGCGCAATACGTCCATTTTATCGTCGACAAAATCGTCCATCAGAGCAGTTAATTCGATTAACCATGGAACGTTTTCGCACCCCGTTTACTCTAATTGATAACTCGCATCCCCAGAGACGCCGTACGGTGCGTACAGAAGAAGCTATTGCTACTGTAGAGCGTAGCATTGAGGAAGACCCGAATGAGTCCATTCGCCATCGAGCACAGGAATTGGATCTGTGTCCATCCACTTTATGGAAGATGTTGCGGAAGGATCTTTTTTTGCGTGCTTACAAAATCCAACTCGTGCAAGAATTGAAGCCAAACGATCACCAAGCAAGGCGTAGATTCGTTGAATGGGCCCAAAACGAGATTGCCGTTGTTCCCGATTTTCATAAGCGAATTTTGTAATAATTAATATTAACCATTCGGATGATGATTTAAGTGTTTCCAGCGAATAAAGAATTGTGAAAAATATGTGCACTTCTTTCTATAAAAATAATCTATTATTTTGTTAGATTATTCCAAGATCATTAAGGAAAATTCGGACCTGTACAATCTTGCTTTTGGGCAAGTTATGTTTTGTCTGGGCGTAAATGGACTACTAATGGGGTATATATATATATATCTAATTTCATGCAAATTCACTGTACTTCCCCTCAAAGAAATCAGTCAATAGGATTTGATTTTTATTTCGGGTACCCGTCATACCATGTCAACGTCAGTGAATAAAGGTTATTTTCTTGACATTTGATCGGAGCCTAATTAACCTCCATGGCAGAAGTGGGATCACATTCTGAGGACATGGCGTGGAAAAACAATACGTCACGCTAAATTACGTCAAGTCTTGATGTAAAGCTTCAGTTCAAACTTTGAAGGCTGAAGAACAAGTGTTGCCACTCCTCATTCGTAGGAAAAATTGAAAATACTCAGACTGTATTTTTGGATTTGAACTATTGATATTCGGTCGCAATATATATATATATATATATATATATATATATATATATATATATATATGTATATATATGTGTGATATTGATACTTCATACCCAAATTTGGACAGGGAGGTTTACAGTTCCACGGTCCGTCGCGTCAATCACTTGTCATCTGTCGATGCTTTATCTTTCCGTGCCGTCCCCCTCTCCACGTGTAGCGGAAGTAGGAGGTTAGAGACTGCATTCCGATTGTTGCACTAAAATGTCTTCTCACGTGTAATACTTTTTAATTTTTTCGGGAGGATTGTTATTTTTAACACGTAACGAAGTTATCTGTCGTTTTCAACAAGCCCAATGTCCCCGTCCTTTTGTTTTTATACTGATTACAAGTTCTATCTTCTCTACGTTCGTTTTGAAACACCTTGTGGCTGCAACCTCATCGACGAGTAAGTTGTCTGACAATTTAAATCTGTCCTGTTTTCTTTGCTAGCATCACAATTGTGTTTTCAGAATCCTGATGAAGGCTCCATAGAGAATGCCAAAAGCTTGATTTTATCGTCAAAAGAGTGTAAAACTTAAGCCTAGAAATTTGCTAATTTCCCAATTAACAATTAATTGTATATATATACATACATATATTGAAAATACCCCATCATAACTGTAACTTAATACATATAAGATTAGCCAATAGTAAACAACGAATTCATCAATGATTTATTTATCGTACAAGTCATTGTTTAGAATTCCATTAATATATTTCTTTTGCAAATCATGAATCAGTAGCTGCTGTTCGTTCATTAAATACAATGGACGATACAATACCGCTATAAACAAGTGAATCATGTCCCCTCACACATAATTAAAAATGAAAGTACATTTAGAATAAACAATACCTTTTGTAAATGTTTATCATTTTCGCCAACGGTATCAGCGAACTTTGCTGTACCTTCCCTCATAAGCAGTTCACGTTGTGCCATTTGGTTATTATCTTCACTAAAAATTCGTGCCAATTCATCGAAGACCTCAATTTTTTCTTTGGAAACAGCTTGCCACGTTTTTTGTAACCTAAAGAAAATAAAGCATTTCAGTATTTCCAGAAAAACTTTGACAAAACAGCCGAGGTGAAATTCGGTATAATGACGACTCTACATCGTTCAAAACTGCACTGAGCTTCTTATACCATTTTCCACTGGTATGAGCTTCTGCACTCTTCTGCTACGAACATTAGTGCAGTTTCTCTGCCGTCCTGTGTTCCACTGGGAAAAGTATTGCAAAATGTTTTGCACTAGATATTAAGTCATTATTGTAAGTCCCTAGTAACTAGAACTTTGTGAGACACCCTCGTACATCAGCGATTAAGCAACCAGAATATCGACAGCGAGCACGGCGACATCTAGAGCATCCGACATCCATCGAGAAGCATCGACCGCCATCCATACAACTTCGACGAAGGCTCGCGCTCTGCCTAGAAAGCACGGGAATCTGTTTGAGTTCGTCGATTTGAAATAAATAACATACTCACTGACGCGATGGCAAAATGGTAGGACAGTCGACAGCGGAAGATGAGTCAGCAAGAGCTCGGAGTCCACATCGACATGGTTATAATTTTGTAATAAATTATATTGAAAAAGGTGTTATAAACTAGTGTAAGAGTAAATTAAATTAGTTATTGATTAAATAATACAAAATGGTGTTTTCGTTATGATATCAAAATAGTTTCCAGTTTGGATTATTACCCTAATTCCTACGCCTACCTTCAAAATTAACGGACCGAAGCGCGTAGTGGGACCGAAACAATAAAACAATATCATAAATATGTCGGGTACATCATTCAAGTAAGTTATTAGAGAAACGACAAATAATTAGCCTCCTTTTGTTCCCACACGATTGCTCTTTCCTTGATTCGGCACTACACCAATACCCTTATTGCAAAAATTACTAAACGGCTGAAATGGACCAGTGCTTGCCAAAATGCTATTAGTCTTCTTGTGTGCATTTCTCCAACTAAAAGTATTCATATTCACTGCGATACAATACAGCATATTTAAACTAAACATGATGCCTTCCTCCGTCCGACCAAAAAGTCAGCCAACCATGGACAGCTGTTTCGTGCTTTTTGGCTACTACTCGGCACAGTCTAGGGTTGGTTTCTTGTCTCTGGACACACGAACGAAAGCATCACAAATATCGTCTATACGGGAGGTACGGTATGTCGAAATAAGAAGCCAGAATTGACCACTGCGGAAAGCGCATAGCTGCTATTATTTGGAACTGTTAGGGATCTCAGTTCAGGTTTAATAGTCCAGTCACCACGTGACCGCTAGATGGCTGACGATTCTGGCTGATTTAAGTAAGTACATTAAACGCAGTGCTTTACCGAGTGTTACCACTCCAAACTTTGTATATAAAATTCCACAATCGTATGTTGCCACTTTCATTTTTACATGAATTCCAAATAATCTTCTTTCCTATAGAGTCACTTCAAATTTTTTTGGCATAAACTTCAGAATGGCGTTCTTCCAATCATAGATTAAAAGATATGACTACTTCTCTTGAACCGAAATAAAATGCACAATACAGGGTGTTTGGAAGGTCGATACAAAGTCTTGGGGAGGGGATAGGGCAGACTATTTAGATTATTTTAAGCCAAACATACCTCAGTACAAAGTCTTACGGTTTTCGAGATATTCGGATTTTTAAATTTAAATCATAAATTAGTAAACGAAACAAAATAAACCATTGAAACATGCTTTATTGGTTTTCGAAGTGAGAACCATTATTTCTAATATATTCTCGAGCTCTACGTTTCACTTCGGTAGTTGTTCTATTTAATAACCTGTCTTGCTGCATTAATTAAAAACCTTCTCGAATTTTTCTTATTAAATGGTCTCTTGATACGATTTCTTCACTGTAAACTAACTGTTTAGCCCGCCCCCAGACATAGAAATCCAATGGCGGCAAGTCCGGGGATCTAGCAGCCCACCTCTGCCTATCCAGCTATTTGGAAAAGAATCGTCCAAATATTGTCTTACGTCTAAACGGAAATGAGCTGGACATCCGTGGTGTTGGAAAACAATTTGCATGTCATCTAAAATGTTTACTCCTACAAGTAATTCGGGAAGATCGTTTTGCAAAAAGTGTAAATAACTGTCGCCTTTTAATCTTTCGGGCAAAAAATGAGGACCGATTAATCTTTGTCCCATGACGGCGGCCCATACATTAACGGACAATTTGTGCTGGAAAGACACCTGTCTTTTCCAGTGTCGATTTTCCTGCTTATCAGCCCATTGATGCAAAAGGTGAAAAATTGTAATACCCTCCTTTGAAAAATTGGATTCGTCGGTCCATAGAATGCTTTCCAGAAACCGTTCATTCTCAATCTCACTATGTACGAGAAAAGGCAAAATTGGCTTCTGCGAATAGGATCACCATCTTCAAGTCCTTGTACGCCTGTAACGGTTTCACCGTCCGATCGTATTTATTAAATCACTTCTCGATTATCATTTCATTAATCCCATCTCTAGCTTTTTGCTTGGAAAATTTTCCGCTTGGAGCGTTTGATGCGGAGTTCCTGATCTGCGATCTTCCTCGCGCTTCCTTTTCACCTGAGCCGCCGATCGAACAACGGCTAGAAATTTCTTCTCAGTAGCACAAGGTTATATAGCACCATGTGCTAGAGTTTTCTAGAATGTGTGTCCGTATAGGACAAAAATGGTGAGTTTTATAATACTATACAGTTTTATTGCTGGATCTGCCTGTAGTTTATAGATAATCGATATGTAAGTGATTTATTTCTTGTACGATTTTAAAATATCCATCGAAGTAGTCGAAAATGACGTTCGATGGATATTTTAAAATCGTACAAGAAATAAATCACTTACATATCGATTATCTATAAACTACAGGCAGATCCAGCAATAAAACTGTATAGTATTATAAAACTCACCATTTTTGTCCTATACGGACACACATTCTAGAAAACTCTAGCACATGGTGCTATATAACCTTGTGCTACTGAGAAGAAATTTCTAGCCGTTGTTCGATCGGCGGCTCAGGTGAAAAGGAAGCGCGAGGAAGATCGCAGATCAGGAACTCCGCATCAAACGCTCCAAGCGGAAAATTTTCCAAGCAAAAAGCTAGAGATGGGATTAATGAAATGATAATCGAGAAGTGATTTAATAAATACGATCGGACGGTGAAACCGTTACACGCCGATACCATGAAAAGGATATTTTCGTTCACGGTGCATGATACTCCAAACCTTCCATAGCGACAAACCAAGATCAGCAACAATTTTCCTAGTACTTGTAGTGGGATCATCTTCAAACGCTTGAAGAATTAGATCTTCGGTTTCAGGAGGATATCGATATGGATTAACACCAGGTTCATAACGTGTTACACTTCCAGTCTAGTAAAGACGTCGGTAAAGTATTGTAAAATAATACTCTGACATTAGGCAATCTTCTCCCACGAAATCGCTCTTGGTACCACCGTCGCGCTTCTAGTCCATTGCCATCTGGTCTGCCATGTAAACGATATCTGAGTAGGTATTCTTCGTTAGTGAAAGCGGAAATTTTAGAAACTAATTAATTCAGGGGTTTTGGACTGAAATTCATGAATTACTATTGACTTGTTTGGAAAGGAATAAAGCAAAAATGTGTGGATTTTTTATCATGCACGCAAACACGTTCCTTCTTATCAGTATCACAAAAATAAGAAAATATATACTAAGTGACATATAAATCCGAACACCCAGTTTAAATGGTTTTATTTTAATAAAAGTTGGTGAATGTATTTATCTTACTGTAAATAACAAGTGAAAAAATTTTCAGCCTTATCAGTTGGACATTCCGGTTTTTATACTGCTTTTTTTAATTCACTAACGCTCTAAAAATGAATATTTCAGCCGCAGTAAAGAATCAACGTTGGCGGATTTTGGTTCTTGACATCCTTTAAGATCGGTTACGATGCCTAGAGTACGGAGACCTGTACGATTTCGTCAACTTAGTGAGTTTGATAGGGGCCGTATAGTGGGACTTCGGGAAACTGGACTTTCTTTTCGGGCAATTGCAGTTAGAGTGCAAAGAAGTGTAGACACTGTGGTTAGGTGTTGTCAGGCATGGCTTCGAGAAGGCCGTACGCAAAGAGCAAGGGGCACTGGATGCCGCCGTAGAACAACAGACGGTGAAGATCGCCGCCTAAGATTATTGGCCTTAAGGGACCGTTTCTCCACTACCAGGTCCATTGCAAATGAATGGTTTGCAGAACACGGAAGACCTATTGGCATGCGAAGTGTTTACCGATGAATGAGAAGTTTTGGCTTGTTTTCATACCGGCCACACTGGATCCTCCCTTTAACTCGAGAACACCGACGTAATCGCCTTGAGTGGTGCAGACAACGGTCACTCTGGGATCAGGAATGGAACAGTATTGTCTTTAGTGACGAGTCTCGATTTTGTTTAGGCATGCACGATGGTCGTGCCAGGGTTAGAAGGCGACGTGGTGAAAGGAGGAGTTTTTTGTTGAAAGACATGTTCATCACACTGTTGGAGTTATGGTTTGGGGTGCTATAGCTTATGGTTCCAGATCACCTTTAATCTTCATCAGAGGTAACATGAACGCGCAGCGTTATATCCACGAAGTTCTAGAACCCCATCTTTTACCCTATCTTGACACCATGGCAGATCCAACTTTCCAACAAGATAATGCCCGACCACATGTTGCAAGAGTCACAATAGACTTCTTTCAACATAGTGATGTCACATTGTTACCATGGCCACCAAGATCTCCCGACTTATCCCCAATTGAGCACGTGTGGGATATGATGGGTAGGAGATTGCTCAATTTGCAACGTCCTCCTCAGACTCTAGAAGCACTTCGAGAGGAGTTGGTGGTTGCCTGGAATGAGATACCACAGGAGGACATTGACCACCTGATCAGAAGCATGCCTAGGCGCGTTGGAGAATGCGTAGCACATCAGGGTGCATCCACACATTATTAAAGGTCAAAGGGCTTTAAAGCAGTGCAATCATTTTGAAATTTTTATCATTTGCTTATTATGCTTCATTAAGTACTTATACAAAATTTTATTAAAATAAAACCATTTAAACTGGGTGTTCGGATTTATATGTCACTTAGTATATATTTATTATTTGTTTACAGCCAATTTGTTTTTCTTTTCTCTACCTTCGGAGAGAAAAACCACACTGTCAGCTATTGATGTTCTTTAAGTGATAACAGGAACAAAAGTACATATTTTTTTTCAATAAAAATCGAAAATCTCGAATAACTCAAAAACCGTAAGACTTTGAACTAAGGTATTTTTGGCTTAGAAGATTCTATCACCTCCCCAAGACTTTGTATCGACCTTCCAAACACCCTGTATATTGATAACATTCTCTAACCTGTATATGGGATTACTCTGCAGTCCGCTGATGATAGCTTTCAAACTGCTGAAGTTCTTAATGAGCCTTAACTCCTGAGCGATATCGATCCATGCTGCCAATATGGCAGCCCTCTCGTGCGTTTTGAGTGTCGGTTCGACTAGGATGGAGGAGATCACTCTGAATGAGACAGCGTTGAACTGGTTGACAGTTGCTAGGACAGTTGCCGCGTCGTGAGATCGACTCTTGTCTCTACGAGACCACACTGCCCCTAAACATTGGTGAGGGATGAGCTTCTTGAATAAAGCCTGAAAAGTAAAGAAAATATTGTGCAGATGCCAAGCATTAGGAGCTGAGCCAAATTGGCCAATCAGTGATCAGACGTTACGTTTCTCTCAAATGGCCATAGATGCTTGCGCAATTAACCATTTTCAAGAATATCGTATTTCTACTTCATTACGTGCCGTTTTGTCAACTTTGAAAACGCGTCATTCATTGGCGCATATTACGTATATTTGTTTTGGGGCTAAGGAGTAAGTACTATTCTTCATAAAACCGCCTTCCTCTGCACAAGACCCAGATAAGACCTAGTCTCGAGTACTGCTTACATGTTTGGGGTGCTGCCGTCCAGACTACATTTTCCATGCTGGCTGCTATAAAGAGAAAGGCTGTCCGACTGATCGGTGACTCTTCTCTATCGGACAGTCTTGGGACCCTCTCGCACCGGCGGGCTGCCGACGATGTGTCTCTCTTCTACCGCTTTGTCAACGGGCTTTGCTCCTCCATGAACCGCGATGAACCTACCGGACAGACCCGCCTAACTTCTGCCTCCTATTATAACCGTGTCGACATGCAGAACTATCAGCATTTGTCCCATTATTTTTCTATGTTTCATAATAGAGTGGGCACTTAGAGACACTCAGGTCCACAAAGTGTTCCAATAAATAGAAAGATCGATATTTGGTGTATCGTGGAAGCGGAATTATGGAAAAGTCATTCAAAAGCCTACATACCCCTCCCTCTCTCCAATTTAACTGAGGTAAGAAAGTGATGAAGCATTTTCATTCCCAACAAAATCATCAGAGCAAGACTTTCAAACCACTATTTTTTTTTACTTTTTTCCGTGGTTCCAGTCTGTGGTTACCCGGCACGGGTATCATGTAAAAAACCTATAAAACGTCAAAAAAAAACTATAAGATGTCAACTTGCAGACAAGGTAGTTTTTAGGACGCAAACAGTCATTCCAGGTTTGCTCACTAGGATCGTTGTGAACGTCCATCTATGGAGGAATCACTCAACTAAACTACGCATTATTGGTTGCATAGTCTTGTGAGGCTGAGTGATCCGTGTTTGTAGTTTTTATCTCTGAGAAGAAAGTTGGTTGAATAGCAAGATCGCATCTGGATGATTCTGTGTATTGGTCTGCATGCGTATAAAATCAGTGATATTTGCTGTGTGAGAAAATCATTACCGAATATGCCGAATATGACGTGTTATTTATATGTTGTGCTTTCTGAAGAGAGGTTATGTTAAAAGTTATAAATTACGAAAAACTGAGGAGAATTACGGGAAATCATCACAGCGCCCGCGTTGTGTGTAATTACTGTTAGCATGTATATGGCTTGTAATTCGACAGTGTACATAATTATTTCTTATCTCTCTCATTTTTGAAATTTAGCAAATTTGTATATGTAATTTCCAGGATTGATAGTAAACTAATTTCTAGCTTAGAATCTCAATTAAGTGTATTTGAGACAAGAACCGAATGTAATTATCATCAACACATACAACTTACAGCTTAGGCCTTAGTAATGCCATCTCTGAAGCAGATTTTACATCACATCAGAGCCAAAAGATTGATAACAAGCCTTATGACGTTTAGGCAACACGTACAACTAAGTGCTAAGTTAACATCTTGTATAAAAACCTACGTAATGTCAAAAAAAACAGCATACTGTCAAAAAAAACGGCATATCACTTTTCAAGATACGTGATACCTGTGCCGGTCAACCATTGTTTTAAGGGTTATTATAACACAGAGCGAGATAAAACGCCTTACTGACAAGAACGAGTTATAAACTCCAAAATCCTACGCTACGTTATGTCATCGAAACTCTGATAGAAACTTAATGGTTTGCCCATGTTCAACTGGAGATGAAACTTCTTAATCGATAACAAATTATCCATAGCCTGACGTCAGTGTGTCAAGCATGTCTCAGAGACGTTTTTCCCTCAATGTATTTGGCTTATTACATTAAATTATCTGTTGTGTACACGGAATAGTATCAGAAGGCATAGCCAACATTAGCAAGAGAATAGCGGAAATGATACTTGAATGTTGTGTACACGAAACAGTAACAGTAGAAGAGTCAAGGGACATAGTAGCATGATGTTCTGTGTTTGTCAAAATGTGCATGACATATGAATATTATCTTTATGGATTTCCATTGAAAATTTTAGGTGTTACTGTGTGGCCTATAAAACAAAAATGTATCGTAACATCTTCCCCCGTTTTGATGTAAAATCATCGACCTGTAGTGACCGTAAGATGTATGTGAAGACCACACAAAAATTATGCAAATTACATATAGCATTAATTTGCTTATTCAAATCAATAAATCGGTATCCGCAATCAAGACGCCTTAATCCACTATACTTTTGTTTTGTCTTCCCTTGCACTAGTAATCAGCATAGCCATATGTAAGTAATTCCTTTGTTCTGCGTATTGTAAATTAAGCAAATTGGCTCGATTCTTCCCATGCTGTAGTAATGACTTTTCGTTTGAAAACATCACCGTCCAGTATAATGAAGCTAGGATTTTACAAGGTTCCTTGATAAATTCTCTGATTAACCTGTGTGTTAGTCTGTAGTCTAGCGAGTACTTTTTTGCTCGACTGCCTCGGAAGGAGGAATATGTATGTAGACAAAACATTCCATTTCACGGGCTCATGACAAACGTCTTAATGGTTTTGACATATAAGGCGTTCTTGGATTAATCTCAGCTGCGCAAGTGACACTGGGGATATTAAAATGTTATAAAAAAAATGGAGGATTGCAATAAACCTTGAAATTCCTATTTCACAGCCTACAGCTTGAGGTGCGTCTAGATTTACCTTGAACAATTTTTACACGACTCAGAAGAAGGGTTATATTTTTGGCGCGGGGATATGAACAAATAATTACGTTTCATGGGACACAGTCCAAATAGCTTGATATATGAGGTGTTGGATTCGTCTTAGCCGTGCGAGTGATATATGAAATCCAAATGACGGATTTTAATAGAAAAGATCAAGTTTGGTATTTTCTATTTCACGGCCTACAGCTGGAATAGCTGGATGGATTTTGACATATGAGGCGTCTCTAGATGTCTTAAATGCGAATTAATTAATGGAGAGTTTACAAAATTTATATTTCAGGAGCTACAGTCGAAACGACTTGATGGATTTTGACATTTTATGGCATAACTAAAGAAACTGCAGTTGAGTTTTTTGTATATTTTAAAAATGTACTTGTTAATTAATACATTCAAATGCAAGCATGTTAAGTTTTGCACAGAAGCCACAAATAGAATCATAAATACTTGTGAGATCGCTTATCCCTTTTTTCGTGAGGTGCGAAATCTTTATTATGTAAAACAGCATTTTAAAAATCAGACATGTTGCTATAATAACCAATAAACAAATACTTACAACATCCATTCTGGTAAGTTGTTCAGCAAAATGTCTGACAGGTACATCTGGTAATTTGTATATCCTCCAATGGTTCGCAACTGAACGCATCGCAAATGCTGGTGGAGGGGCAAGCAAAGGGTCTACATACGCTTCTCTACTATACCTACAACAAATAATAGTAAACAAAACTTCAATATAATATTACGTCTAATCAAAAAGCTGAGCTTCACAAAAATAACACATATTCATCATATTTGTTTATCGCAAGTTCACTGACACCTTACAACATCCGCAGACTATAACAGTAATAATATGACCAAACCACAATTTTTTTTTCAAATTGGCAGCAGAATGATAATTAATATACGTGAAATCAATTTCTGTGAAGGATTATAAATATCCAATATTTGGTAAAATAGATCAGGTTTCACATATACAGATAAATTAATTTCTGTTGAAGGCTGTTTATATGGCTATGCCCTAGCATGGTTGTCAGAATGACAGTAGAATCTTACAAGTGTATCCTCACAAATAAACATACTACAGCGGCTCTTAATATTTGTCCATTAAAGGTTAAGATAAAATAAGCATATTTTATGATGATTTTTAATACGAACGTCCATAAAGTTATGCAAAATTATATAAAAACACATTTTGATAATATATTCAGTTACCTTTCTATCCTATGTCGTACTTTGGCATCCAATTCGGTAGAGGGTAGGTACTCTTCACAAAAATGTAACAGTTGATTTAAAGCTGAATAATTGGGCGGGTCTTTAAAGTCTTCGGGATAACTATCTAGCCATACGTGGAGCGCAGATATTAAAGTCCTGCAATATAAAAAGTTACATCAAGATAGTGAACATCAGAATAATGAAGACATGCAGTTACCTCGAATTAAGGAATGGAAAAATGTATTGGAATGTCTTATAGATGCCTGGGTTATGCTGACTCGAATGCATCGTTAAATTGCGGCCATTGGCAAATACCTGCGACTCCAGATAACCCAGCAACACCTGCTCTAATGAGAATAAATCACATAATCTTGGTGGCCAGTTCATGGCACATTTGCCTGAGAAACCTTATCTGCATTGCATTCGTGCTGGAACCAATTAAAAAACATTGACGGTGTTGGTCTCACCAATCTTATTTTCGAAAAAGTACGTACCAATGACGCCGTCGCATAGTGGTCCAGGGTACCAAAGAGTTATCAAAACATATAATTTCTACCGGCCGCTTCAGGGAAAAAGCTAAGCCAAGAAGTAATTTTCTCCAAATAACCTCCCCACTCTGTACAAGGCCCCTGCTCATACGTTTGGGGTGCTGCCGCCTCAACTGAATGATCCATACTCAATGCTGTTCAGAGGAAGGATGTGCGCCTGATCGATTACTCTTCTCTAACGGACAGTCCCGGGTCCCTTTCGCACCGACCGATCGTAACCGTGTCGCACTTTCTACTTCGAGAACGATATGACCGCGCCTCGACAGATGTGCATCATCTGACATTAATTGCCAAATTTTTGCATCCGGAGAAATTTTTATATTTTGGCAATAATATTATGGAAGCTGAACCCGAGGGGTCCCCAGGCGACCCCTCTACTGCTTTGAGTGGAGTTGGCGCGGAGTGCAGCGCTACTTTGGAATATATTCCAGAAAACCAAAACGACATGACGCCAATGATGACATCAGGGATGACACCGATACTGGAGAAGGAAAACGAGAACCAGAGACTTTTGAAGATAATTGCAGACCAAGCAGCCCGGATTCAGAGACTGACTGACTGTGTGGAGTCACTTAATGCCCAGGTTTTTAAGCTTACAAGTATCATTCATAAAACAGTTTCCAATGTTGATTCTTCCAAAACAGCAAAACGTAGACATAACAGCCATTCGGGTGACCTACATACTGAGACCGATGAGGACACACAGGGTGATCTTTTCACACCTGTGCGACGTCGCAAAGTGAGACTGCGCAAAACAGAATTTCCTCCGCTACCGACGAAATCCCCAAATAACAAACATTCAGGCAACCTAAAACCGTCTGTGTCTGTACCCTCTACCGCTTCTACTAGTCAGCCAAGGGAAAGACCTTTATCAGCATCCACACAGAGTGCTTCTCCTGTTATACCCCAAGTGCAGTCTGATCCATTGGCTGGCTGCAACTCATCTTCCTTGCCATCCAGCGGATCTCTAAACACACAGGCCCAATCACCTCGCCAGGTGCGTATTACTCCAATCGTGTTGAGAGATGCGACAAAATGGCGCACCTTAAACAATTCCTTTGTAAGTCTTGGTATTCGTATTGAACGAGCAGTCGCCGTTGACGCTGGGATACGTATCATCCCCAAAACCGAAGACGATTATCGCAGGATAATCCGTCTTTTCAAAGAGGAAAACATTCCTCATCACACTTTCCCTTTGCCCACTGAGCGCAACAACCATGCGGTTATCAGAGGTATCCCAGCATCAACCACCGAACAGGAGGTCAAAGGTGAGCTAGAACAGAAGGGTTACGCTCCCTTTCACATCATTCGCCTAAAGCGCAACGGCGGCGTGCCCATGCCCTTGATGGTGGTGATCCTGCCTAAGACGGAGAAGTCACAGCAAGTGTTCAACGAGCACGAATTGCTGGGGCTCTCTATCAGAGTCGAAGTTCAGAAGAACTCTCGACTCATTGGGCGGTGTCACCGCTGCCAGAAGTACCGACACGCACAGTCGTATTGCACTGCGCCGCCAAAGTGTCTAAAATGTGCCCAAGACCACATGACACATATGTGCCCTCAAACAGGACAAGAGGTTCGCAGATGTGCGAACTGTGGGGGGGACCCTCCGGCAAATAGTCCGACCTGTAGATTTACTCCTAGGAGCAATCTACAAGTCATCGCACAAAGGCGAGCAAAGTCCTACGCGGACGCAGCAAGAGATGACACCTCAACTGCGCCTGCTGTTTCGAGCTCATCTACGACTACTCAAAATGTGGATCTAGCTACAGCGCTCAGGTCCAGCAGATTATTATTAGTCCCCTGATAAGCGCCACTAAGGCATTGCAGGCGATCTTTCCGCTAAATGGCTAGGTACAATAGCAGACAGCCTGAATTCATCAAAATTCTTTTCTGGAATTGTTTGGGTCTTAGGGATGTCCCCAAAAAACGGGAATTTCATTAAGCTCTTTTGGATGAGAATGTCGATGTAGCTCTGCTGCAGGAAACATTGCTTAATCCGGGAGATCGTCTAGCTTTCCCGAATTATGATGTTATCCGCGCTGATAGATTAAATGGACTGGGTGGCGGTTTGGCAGTGCTAGTAAAACGTGGTATTGACTATTACAGAAGCACAAACGCTGAGATGCAGAGCATCGAGGCAACTTCGGTGGTAGTAAATATGACGGGAGGTATCTCGTTGAAAATCACATCGGTTTATGTCAGATGTGGTACCAGGCTGCAAGAGACGGATCTGGAAGTCCTGTTTGACTGCTCGGGTCCGCTGATTGTAGCAGGGGACTTTAACTGTAAACATCGAGCATGGCACTCTAGGTTAAATTCCACCAGTGGGATTCGACTTTACAACCATGTGATACGAAACGGCTACCTCATACACAGCACTGAGGAGCCGACTCACCACCTATTTAATCACCTTCAGGCACCAGATGTCATTGACTTCGCGATATCTAGAAACTGTAGATTCAGTGTCACTTCTCGAATCATGTATGACATTTCGAGCGATCATCTTCCTATCGTACTGGAAGTGGGTAATGAGCAAACCTTGGAAGGGGAAACTCTTCCAAGTAAAAGGGTTGATTGTGAGCTATACAAGTCGCTCCTTAGAGAGTTCCCCAATATCCCGATCATAGATGATGAGAACGATATAGATGCTGCTCAAGCGGAGTGGACAAGTTCCGTTCAGCAAGCTCTGCAGCGTGCAGCTGTACTACCAGTACGACGACACGGCAGACCGTTTCTCCCTGCAGACATTCGCCAGAAAATTTCTGACAGAAGAGCTGCAATTAAGCAAGCGAAGAGGTCTAGTCACCCAGGTGACATTCACAGAGCAACTAATCTTGTTCATGAAGTGAGAAATGCTCTTCATGAATTCCGTAATGAGCAATGGAGCGACTTTCTGTCGGGGATGCTTGACTCAAGTATTCCTCTCTGGAAAGTTGCAAAGTCGCTCAGAAACGGAAAGCGAGAACAACTCCCGCACATCCACGGTCCTAGCGACATAGTCTGTAGGATAGAGGAAAAGGTCGAGGTTTTCGCTGATGCAATGGAAAGTCAGTTCTCTCCCAACTATGACCTTGATAATGACCTCGACGAGGAGCAACATATTGTAAGATCCGTCAGGAGATATTTTAGGGCCAACGGCGTCAGTGGCAGTAGTTCCTCCCTTAGTGATTTTTCCTCAGAGGAATCTTCAGATGATTCCTCAATTGAAGAGCTGCACGGCACATCAGCGAGATCTCCTGAGACTCCGCATTGCACACCAGCAGAGCTCCAAGGTCATATTAAAGACATCAAGGTGCGTAAAGCACCTGGAGAGGATCGAATCACTAATAAGGCGCTGAAGCTACTTTCGCGGAAGTCCTTCACTTATCTCGTGACAATAATCAATGCCATACTAAGGACCCAGCACTTCCCAACGGCGTGGAAGACCGCTGATGCCATAATGATTCCAAAGAAGGTGGGTTCGATATTCCCCCAGGATTACCGCCCCATTAGTTTACTGTCAGCTCCTTCTAAGCTCGCTGAAAAGGTGATTCTACGTCACCTTGAAAATTTCTCGGTAGACCACAATGTGATTCCTGACGTGCAATTTGGCTTTCGGTCTGAGCATAGTACGGAGCTACAGGCCATAAGGCTTGTTGAACGAGTAACCAGCGGGTTCACCCGTAATGAAAGTACTGGCATCTTGCTACTGGATGTCTCAAAGGCATTTGACAAGGTGTGACACAAGGGCCTTCTCTACAAATTGATCCATAAGGGCTTCCCCTTCTGGCTCCTAAAACTTTTGAAATCCTTTCTCGAGGGTAGGAAATTTCGGATCAAAATTAATAACGTTCTGTCGACAACACGGCCCATCAAAGCCGTTGTCCCTCAGGGTTCGGTTCTTGGACCAGTCCTTTATTCACTTTTTATTCATGACGTCCCTTGCCCCAGCAGCTGTGAAACCTATCTCTATGCTGACGACACTGCCCTGGTGGCCCAGTGGTGCTCTGGGGATCTAGTTCATGACAGTCTGCAAAGTGCAGTGGACGAGGTATTGGAATGGGCGAATCGGTGGCTGATCAAAATTAATCATTCGAAAACGCAGGCAATCTATTGTACTAAAAAACGTAGCGGCGCCCCGTCTGGGGTTTCAGTGAATGGCGCTCGGGTACCATGGGAAAGCTATGCTAAGTATCTCGGTATCACTCTTGACAAGGGGATAACCTGGCAGAAGCACACTGAAGCAACTCTACCCTATGCTATGTAGAACATCAAAATTAAGTTTGATCAACAAAGTTCGACTATACAAGATGGTTATTAGACCAGCGATCACTTACGCAAGTGCGGCTTGGTGTTTTCTCGCCAAAACGCATTTGCGTAGCCTGCAGGTTTTGCAGAACAGAACCTTGCGTACAATCACTAACGCCCCATGGTATGTTTCCAACGAGACCCTTCACAGAGACCTTGACATTCCTTACCTAAGGAACTACATCAAACAACAAGCGCAGCTACGTTACAGTCAAGCAGAATCGCATAACAACCCTTTGTTGCGCGAGTCAGTAGACTACACAGTCGAGCAAGTTCGCAAGCACACAAGGCCGCGACTCGCACTGTGAACAAAATTAAATCGTGCTACTTTAGGTCCAACCAAAATTATAATTTTTCTTCAACAACCAATCCCAAAATTAATTTTAGGATCGATTTAAAATTGCCGAATACTAACTAGCAATGCCAAGGCACCCCTCAAATTGATGCACATCTTTTTTCTTTGCTCTCCCTCCTTCCTTCCTTCCTTTCTTCTTCCCTTCTTTCTCCCTGACTTTGTTTGGTATCTGGGCAACCAGACCTGACAGACCTACTGACTTACAAGACTTCAACCAAGAGCAAAGGTCCAACGGACCGCTCTGACAGACAATGACGAGTAGTAGTATACGACCGCGCCTTTGTCCCTAGGGTATCAAGATTGTAGATCAATCCACCTTAGAATTCTTTTTCCAGTTCTACTAAACTTATTCAGTTCAAAACTCGGTTTAAAGAAGTTTTTTTAAGCTCCTCATAACAGCCGCGGTGCCCTGGCTTCTACCTACGTGGCTGCTTTGGTATACAAATATTTGGTACAGAAGAGTTTTTAGGATAGATGATTTCAAGTTTGTTCCTATGATTTAATTATAGCAGAAAGAATGAACACTTATTTTATAGAAAGTGTAAATCAAATAGTGAAGACGATTGGTGACGGTGATCCAAAGTTATGTACATTACAACTATGTCAGAATTCATCAATGAAGCAATTTAGGACTATTAAGATCAGCAATCTAAGAAAAGCTAACTCAAAATTGAAATCTAATAAAAATCCAAGTGAGAATCTCTCAATGAATATTCTAAATGACTGTTTCAATATAATTGGAGAGAAATTATTATTATTGGTGAATCATTGTAGTAGAAGAAACCAAAATTTTGTCAAAAAATCAAGCTAGGTCTTTGAGACTATAGATAGGGAAAAATGGTTAATGAAATTGCGTCACTATGGCTTTAGAGGATCAGTATTACACATTTTACAAAATTATTTAGTAAATAGAAGTCAAAAAACTAAAGTTGGAAATATTATGTCAAGTGTTCCAAATATATCAGTAGGGGTTGCCACAGGGAAGTAAATTAGGGCCGTTACTATTTATTATTTATATAAATGATATCTCTGACATTTTAGAACACTGCAAAATTCAAATATTTGCGGACGATATATTTATACACTCGTATATATATGTATACAGGGTGACTTTGAAGTTGAGTCATTAATTTTCAGATAATGATTGTAGAAGGAAGATAAACCAAAATATGTGTGTAAAAATAAAAATAAAAATTACAAAAAATTTTACCTTGTTTTATAAAGTATCCTCCCGACAAGTATTTCAGTGCGGACCTGTATTTGATCGTGCGGTCTTGGAGCACCGGCATGCCCTCCCCTGTGAGGTCTTAAGTCACCTGATTCACGAGCCCTTTGTACTACATTAACAAAGGCACGAGGGGTTGGTTGCACTCGATTGGGAAACCGATCCGCCATAAAGACTCCCCCCCCCGTAAATAAGAATCATGTCCACAAGTTCAGCATTTTCGTAAACATGTGCATTTTTTATTTCGTTTAAGCCACGCAAAAAAACACCACTATTCACTCACGCGTTACCGACTGACACATTGACGGAAAACAACTGAATAAAATTGTACATTGTAGTAAAAACATCGTTTCAAATTCTTTCGCTTTTTTGTTTCCGATGCGATGAACAGATAAGGCGGATTATATCCGTTGTTGCCAGACACGAGCACATAATATTATTATTGAGACAGGGCGGTACTCAAACTTCTAAAGGGCTATAACTTTGTTACTTTAATTTTACCAGAAAAATGTTAAAGGAAAAAAGCATTTCTTTTGATCAGATCTACTCACTGTTAAAATAAATGACTCAACTTCTAAGTCACACAAAAAATTATGAATTGGTTAAATGTGACAATACAATTAGGCTCATAATTAATGATGAAAAAATTGAAGTAGTTGAGTCATTTAAATATCTTGGTATATATGTGGACAGTAAGCTACTGTTTCACGAACATTATGAATTATTTCAAAAATATCGAAAAAAGTAAATAACTTCTATAGATTTCCCATAATCTTTGTATGTATTCCAAAAAAATTGTGTATAACGCTATAATTCTTCCCCATCTTTTATATTGTTCAACCATCTTGTTTACAGCAAGTGAAAACATATTTTCAAAATTACAAATTCAACAAAATAAAGCTATGAGAATCATTTTAAATAAAAACAAGTATACTAGGTTGGATGTGAGAAATTTCATATATTATTTAGTTCTCGTTTTTATATTCAAATAATAAAATCATTTATTAGCACCACATTTAGAAAACTCCAAAAAATTAAATAGTCATTATCATAACTACGAAACTAGAGGCAGTATAGATTTTCATCTGCAAAATTGTAATAGTAGCATAACTAGTAAATCTATATTTCAAAAGGGAGCATTTGAATTTAATAAACTGAATAATAATAATAATAATATTTATTCACTCAATGTACAAAGATAACAAACAATATGAGTAAATAGATATAAAATCAAAACAGGCCCAATAGAAGGCATCGCCTGTACATGGACCAATAATTTAAGTTGAAACTGTAGAATGCAAATGACAAAAAAGGACAAAAATTAGCTACAGTAGATTATGTATTTAGTTGATGTTCGTATTTATGAGTTTATGAATTTCAGTCCTAGATATAGAATGTAGCCACTTTTTTAAATTTCTTTTGAAACACTTTCCGAAACGTAAATCTTTTAAGTCTTTAGGTATAATTTCATAAAATTTAGGCGCTAAATAGAGATATGATCGCTGCATTATAGATTTATGCGGTTGAGGAACTACTGTGCCACGAATTTTGTACCTGGTATAATGATTATGTTTAATTTTTTGGTCGGTGTTTACAAATTTATGGTAGTGAGTGATACTGTGTAAGAAATAAAGCTGTCTTATATCATACATTCGAACATCTGCGTATAATTTTTCAGTGGGATAAAGTTTCGGTTTTTTAAATATCATTTTTAGAATACTTTTTTGAAAAACATCTAAATTATAGATATGTGAGGAACATGCAGCTCCCCATGCTAATATAACATATGTGAGATGAGGCTCAATCAGTGCATGGTATAATGTTCGAAGATAATTTTCTGTCAATATATTCCCAAGGTATTTAATTTTGTAGGATACAAATCTAACTTTCTTTAAAATATAATTGAGATGGATGTCCCATCGTAAGTGAGGATCCAAGATCACTCCAAGGTATTTTATGTTGGGCACTCTATTAATTTGCATTTTTTGATCATTAATATTGAAGGAGAAATTTGTGTAATTTGGCAGATGTCTAGCATAAGATCCAAATGGTAAAAAATGTGTTTTAGAGTAGTTAATGCTTAATTTTCTACTGTTAAACCACTGAATGATTTTGATAAAATCATTTTCAATTACATTTTTCAGATCAGACCAGTCAGTGCCTTCATATAATATTGCAGTATCATCTGCAAAACTAGTTATTTTGCCAACACAATTAATTTGGAAAATATCATTTAAATATATATTGAATAACAGCGGACCTAAGACAGTTCCTTGTGGGACACCACACTTAATATACATTTCTTTACTAAATGATCCTGATATCTGCACAGATTGTGGGCGATTTGACAAATAACTTTCGATCAGTGAGTACGCGTTTCCTCTGAAACCAATTCTCTCCAATGCTTCTAATAATGATTTGTGATTAACTGTATCGAAAGCTTTCTTTAAATCAAAATAATGATATTAAACAGAGTTCGAATTTAAAAATGTTTAAGGTGAAATTCAAAAATCAATTTATAAATAATCAAAATACATAGTGACGTAATTTTAATAGACAAGAATGTAAAATTACAGAAGCACGAGCATAACCGCATGCCATTTGGGGTCCTTCTAGTCGTCGAGTCCGAATCAAAGGTCAGTAACTCACCAATCGGATCCAGACGTGTTTTTCTAAGAAATTCGTATAAGAAGTGTTTTTTACCTATTTTGGCATCCGAAAAATAAATTCCAATAGCTAGACCATGTGAAACAAGATGTAGGCTATTCGGTTCCTCGAGCCCGTCGACAGATTTTTTTATCATGAATCCATGGACCATTTCCGTTCAACTGAATTATTAAATCTTTGTACCAATGACAATTTCTCACTTCTTAGTAAACTAATATAAAAGATGAAATATAAAAAAATATTAACAAAAGAATGCAAGTTTGCGAGTAGATTGCAAAAATGGCCGTAGGCCCATGGCACTTGGAGGCTACTAAATATAAAAGTACTATTAATTTTTATAATATTTGCTTACTTTTTATGTTGGTCCGCTTGGTCGCCCTTCCCCGCCGCGCCGCTATCCAATTCCGCATACCTCTCTATGAGCAGCCTGAGCACCTCTGCGGGCGTCGAGAAACTCCTGTAGGTGGCAAGGAAGACATTCACATAGGTGGTCTCTAGCTCCCCGTCGTCTGTGGACAGGGCCTCCACCAGACGCTTCAGGGTGCCCGCCTTCACGAAACGCACACGGACAGTCTCCCATTCTAGGTGAGAGATCTCGTCGTCAGAGTCCTGGAAATACAACAGTATTCATTTATGGCATCAACAAACTTCGAAAATGAGATATGATTTTTGGATGTTATACGACTTGTACATCACGAAAAACCAAGTCACTCATTTCCGTCGGTTTGTCTGTCTGTCTGTTCGCTAATCCTTGACCCGTCAATAACTTGAAAAGTTCCACTCGGATATTTCGTTGAAATTTTCGCACTAAGTCATTATGATGCCCAGGACGAAAAATCTTTGTAGTTTTTGAAAATTGGTTCATGACGCTGGAAGAAAGAAATATGCAAGAAATGAAAATCGCCCAAACATCGTTTTTTGACGTTTTTGATGCATTTTCAGAAAAAAATTGTAGGGGTTAAAGAACCGAACAGCCCAAAATGTACTACGAGCCCCTTCCCACTTCAGTTGGCCCAACTATTGAAATCTTAGTTTTTTTCTTATCAAACACAAATAATAAAAATGTAGCATTGTGTTATAGGTTTAACATATTAACAATGAATATTTTGATAATATATAGTAGAAAACACCAACTTTATCACTCCCTAATCAAATTTGCAGCATAAAAATAACACATGTTGCAATTATAGCATATCAACCTATTTTCATTTCAATGCAAACTAAGTCTATAACGCATAGGTGGCTGTGAAAAATAAAAGCCATGATAATTGTTTTTATTAATCACAGCTGTCAGAATACGTTTAAAATAGTTTTGGGTAGTTAAGGTTTTCAAAATGGGTAGAGGAAAGGTTATTAGTGAGAAAATTCGGTTACTGATAATTAAATTTTTCAATTCTGGGAAATCAAACTCAGAAATTGCAACTTTGTTAGACTTATCGCGGTACAGTGTGAAAAATATTGATAGAAGATATAACGTAACTGGTTCAGTTAATATTAAGCCACGATATGTGAAAAAAAGTAATATCACAAATGCCGACCGAAGAGCATTTAGAAGAATAATCGTGAAAAACAGGTGTGCCACAACTCATAGAGAGGCCCACAAACTGGGATTTAGCACTTGCAAGGTAAGTTTTCTTATAAAAAAAATGGAAGTAAAAACCCTAAAGTTGCACAACTTGTTTATAGGCCAAAGAAAAGCCACTATTAACTCCACTGCAAAAGAAAAGTCGGTTTAGATGGTCTAAAGAACATAGACAATGGACACCTCAACAATGGTGTGTAATACAATGGAGTGATGACGCCCGATTAGAAGTTTGTGTTGGTGACAGTCGCAGTAGAATTATTCGCAAAAAAATGAAGCATTCCATGTTGACTGTCTGAAGACAAAAGTAAAATTTCTAGCATCCATTATGGTCTGGGGCAGTATGTCAACAAAAGGAATAGGAAAACTTCATTTTATTGATGGAAATGTGGATACAAACAAATATTTGGCAATTTTAGAAGAATCGCTTTTACCAGTGATGGAAGAATGTTTGACATCCGGCCAAGATTTTGTGTTTCAGCAAGATGATGCAGCGTGTAATACCTCAAAAAAGGCTATAAAATGGATGGAAGAAAATAATGTACCTCTTTTGAAATGGGTTTCTAGCAGTCCAGACCTGTCACCTATTGAAACTTTGTGGCACGAGATGTAAAAGGTTCTACGACAACATCCTGCTAGTACAATCACCGAACTGAGACAAAAGCTTCGAGAAATATGGGATTGTTTTACACCAAATTTTTGCCAAAACTTGGTTAACACTATGCCCCAAAAAATTTCAGTCGTAATAAAAAATAAAGGTGATGTTATCCAATGGTAATCAATCAATCAATTGTTGCTTTGTTAACTTCGCGCAGATGTTCTATTAGTTATAGGTCTAAGTGATTTCAAATATGTATTTTTTTACGAGAGTGTATCTAAAATGTTTCTGAGAAAATAAATTGTTTTATAAGTAAATAGTTTCGTCATGTTTAGTTTATAAAGGCATATTTTGGTACAAATCTAGAAGTGGGCCAACTGAAGTGGGAAGGGGCTCGTACGTACTATTATCCAAAATAGATTTATTCCGGTTACTTGAGCGTGCGGTTTTTTGCAGTTGGCTCTTGGTCCAATGGCCTGAACTAGGCTTACAAAAACAAAATAATAAGAGTCCAATAGGAATATTTTTTATCTAGGTTAAGGAATATCCTCGGGAATACTGAATGTATTTCTACCACACTTATAATTTGAAAAAATTAATTTTTGTGGTCCATTACTGATCAAAATCTTATTTCGAACGGTTATCAATATCGTAAAAAGTCGAAATCACTACTGGATCGATATTTGGCACAAGGTACTTAAAAGCTGTAACGTTTGGCAATTTTCCTTACCCAAACAAAGAATACAGGTTAAAAATGTAATGCACAGTGTTGCATTTAGCTGCAGGCCATTAGTGCCTCATCTTTCTGAGAGATTTCCAACAAAACTACTATTGTAGAACTAAGTATTTTAGTTTTTTATCAAATTACAGTAATTTAGTAATGTCTGGCCAAAGCAGACTGGGAGCGAACCATTAATGTGGTCATTTAAAAATCGATAAATGCGATGAGAAAATACCACACCTTGCATCTGAGGAATTATATGAACTAGGTGTTGCTACCCATCATAATATTGCAATGGGTATCAAAATTAACACTCCACTACTTTAAAGTTATCCCTGACGCTACTTTTGCGGTATGAACATGATTTTTATAGCCGTAGTCTCAAGTGCATGGCAAGCCTTTTTTTTTTGACTGGTATCGTACCCTAAATATTATACACATTTTGTTAAGTGTAATTATAAAGAAGATCCTGTATTTGTGAGCTAATGTACTATTCGCATGGGAAGTACACTGACAACGGTTAAATAACTCCAAAAAATGATGTAACCTGTTAGACTGATAGAAACATGAATAACGTGGTTTGAAGTCATTCTATTGACCGCATTTCGTACCCTTTTGAAAGTGGCTTGTTTTTTGCTTACCATGGAAACGAAGGGTTAGGTTTCGTATTATTTTTAAAATTCGTTTTTTGCATGTATTTTTGTTCAAATAGTCAAATTAAATGATGTAGTGAGTGATTATATTATTTTACAAGTTTTTATTGAAACATGCCTGAGAATCAGAGATATTTTTTTGTACATAAACCCATAATCCTAAATAAAATTTGGAATAAATATAGAATAATTAATTTACAATTTAGGCCTTTTAGCATTTATTAGAAACTCAGAAGTAAAAATCTAAAACGTAGTCCAAATAGTATTATTTTTGGAATTCACAATAAAATTTATGATATAAAAAGGGTGAATTTGTAATGTGGACGCGGTAGACAACTCCATTGTTTCGCAAGGTTAAAAAAAAGTTAGTCATCGGTATGCTCCTTACGTGGAAAATATTTTTTCTGTAGGGTGATTGTGTGTATATTTAATTGCACGTTCGGATAGGGCCTTCCAAACCGAAGCAAATTAATATAACATGTACTAAGTGACATATAAATCCGAACACCCAGTTTAAATGGTTTTATTTTAATAAAAGTTGGTGAATGTATTTATCTTACTGTAAGTAACAAGTGAAAAATTTTTCAGCCTTATCAGTTGGACATTCCGGTTTTTATACTGCTTTTTTTTAATTCACTAATGCTCTAAAAATGAATATTTCAGCCGCAGTAAAGAATCAACGTTGGCGGATTTTGGTTCTTGACATTCTTTTAGGATCGGTTACGATGCCTAGAGTACGGAGACCTGTACGATTTCGTCAACTTAGTGAGTTTGATAGGGGCCGTATAGTGGGACTTCGGGAAGCTGGACTTTCTTTTCGGGCAATTGCAGTTAGAGTGCAAAGAAGTGTAGACAATGTGGTTAGGTGTTGCCAGGCATGGCTTTGAGAAGGCCGTACGCAAAGAGCAAGGGGACGCCGCCGTAGAACAATAGACCGTGAAGATCGCCGCCTAAGATTATTGGCCTTAAGGGACCGTTTCTCCACTACCAGGTCCATTGCAAATGAATGGTTTGCATGCGAAGTGTTTACCGACGAATGAGAAGTTTTGGCTTGTTTTCATACCGGCCACACTGGGTCCTCCCTTTAACTCGAGAACACCGACGTAATCGCCTTGAGTGGTGCAGACAACGGTCACTCTGGGATCAGGAATGGAACAGTATTGTCTTTAGTGACGAGACTCGATTTTGTTTAGGCATGCACGATGGTCGTGCCAGGGTTAGAAGGCGACGTGGTGAAAGGAGGAATCCACAGTTTTTTGTTGAAAGACATGTTCATCACACTGTTGGAGTTATGGTTTGGGGTGCTATAGCTTATGGTTCCAGGTCACCTTTAATCTTCATCAGAGGTAACATGAACGCGCAGCGTTATATCCACGAAGTTCTAGAACCCCATCTTTTACCCTATCTTGACACCCTGGCAGATCCAACTTTCTAACAAGATAATGCCCGACCACATGTTGCAAGAGTCACAATAGACTTCTTTCAACATAATGATGTCACATTGTTACTATGGCCACCAAGATCTCCCGACTTATCTCCAATTGAGAACGTGTGGGATATAATGGGTAGGAGATTGCTCAATTTGCAACGTCCTCCTCAGACTCTAGAAGCACTTCGAGAGGAGTTGGTGGTTGCCTGGAATGAGATACCACAGGAGGACATTGACCACCTGATCAGAAGCATGCCTAGGCGCGTTGGAGAATGCGTAGCACATCAGGGTGCATCCACACATTATTAAACGTCAAAGGGCTTTAAAGCAGTGCAATCATTTTGAAATTTTTATCATTTACTTATTATGCTTCATTAAGTACTTATACAAAATTTTATTAAAATAAAACCATTTAAACTGGGTGTTCGGATTTATATGTCACTTAGTATACTATAGGGATCTATTTTCAAGTTGTTGAGATATTGGGAAATCTTTCGAAAAAAAAAACACTAGTTTATAGAGGATGGTCAAGAACGCAAAATGAGTGATTTCAAAAAGATTTCAAATAGAATACCCTGCATATACTCACGACGTGTGATTGATTGAAAACACAGGGTCACCTCCTTGACTTTCCGACTATATTGTGTTAGATTATCTATACTTA